TTTCTTTGATTGTCTTCAGGAAATAATTTCCTCTGGAGACGACAACAAGGATGACGGGCTCAACTTCAACGAGTTCTCCAAGTACCTGATGGACCACGAGAAGAAGTTACTTCTAACTTTCAAGAGCTTGGACAAAAACAACGATGGTACAAACTTCAGTTTACCCTCAAAACTAAAAGAATGTCCTGTTATCTCACGCACTTCAGCTCTACTTTGTTTTTATTATAACAGGTCAAATCGACTACATGGAGATAAAGCAGTCGCTCGCTGACCTTGGCATGAACATCAGCGAGGAGGATGCAAATAAAATCCTTCAGAGGTACTCCAGCCTGTTGAGTAAAAACCCTCGGCTCATTGACAATTCCTGTTATGGATACATGACTTTAAAAAGAGAGACAAACCAGACTAAACTAGAACTGAAAGGATAAACTAAAGAGTCGTGAGCGTCAGGGAGTTAAAGGTGGAGACCAGTGTGAGGGACTGATAACCGGGGGGTGGGGGTGGGGGGGGGGTGTCACATGATGAAGAGCACAAACAGTTTGCATGAAACATGGTCTTCATTAATCCACACAAAACTAAAAATGTTCCCTTTAAAGGTCCGGTTTCACCGAAAAACCTTTTTTTAAAGAGCAAGTCACCCCCAAATCAACTTTTTTTGTCTGATAAACTTTATAAATGTGTCTAATCGTGCTGCAGACACGTGTAGTCAATAGTTTTGCACTTAAGCATTTAGTTAAAATTTAAATTTTCTGCCTAAAACTGTCAGTGTTGTGCCGTTGTCAGGTAAAAACTCTGCACTGCACTTGAATTAAATCTGCCATCGCTATTGGCTAAGCGGTACCCTAGACCATTTGCTGGTACCATATGATGTCACAATGTCGTTGTGTGTGTGTGTGTGTATTTGTTAGCAGCTTCGCCGTCTCGGTACTGCAAGGCAACAGTGTTTGTTGCATTTTTCCAACAGGAAGTGGGAGTTGAGTAAGAATCTGGTAGGGATGACTTGCTCTTTAATCATCATAGGGAGCTCCTCCCGTTCTGTTCGGCTCATGGGTCCTCGGAACAAAGAAAAAATAACTGCAAGTGAACGGGAATATATAAACGTTATTTTCTAATCTGCTTTGCCTTATGCCCTGAATCACACATATGTTGTACTCAAATTAAACGAGAAGTAATTATGTGAGTTTCGGACTATGTCTGTCACGCACTTTTAGATTTGTTTGCCTAGCTTGGTGACGTCGCATATATAACAACACCACAAAACCTCATCTTCCCCAGCGTAGCTGCTGCTTACCACATGGCCAGAATTATTGTGGTTTTCTCCATGTTTTATGCTCCTTCTGTCGTCCTGGTGGAAGGATTCGAAACTTGCTAAACTCACAGCCTGGTCTGGTTCAATGACGTTAGTTTGGTGAGATGAACATTTGTTACACAGTAAGGGTGTTTCTCAATGTCAAGGCGCCTGGCATTGCGAGGCGATGTCTTGCAAGGCCAGGCACCTAGCTTACGAGGACACGGGTCCTTCGGTCAAAGAAAACGGTTAAATGGAACAGACTTGCATCACTGCCCGCGGCTTCCATGGCGGTCGCGTAACGTCACGTGACACGGGAGACAACGTTATATTTTATATGTATTTGTTATATATATATATATATATATATATATATATATATATATATATATAATATATATATATATACACACAGTGGGGCAAAAAAAGTATTTGGTCAGCCACCGATTGTGCAAGTTCTCCCACTTAAAATGATGACAGAGGTCAGTAATTTACATCATTGGTACACTTCAACTGTGAGAGACAGAATGTGAAACAAAATCCATGAATTCACATGGCAGGATTTTTAAAGAATTCATTTGTAAATCAGGGTGGAAAATAAGTATTTGGTCACTTCAAACAAGGAAAATCTCTGGCTCTCACAGACCTGTAACGTCTTCTTTAAGAAGCTTTTCTGTCCTCCACTCGTTACCAATATTAATGGCACCTGTTTGAACTCATTATCTGTATAAAAGACACCTGTCCACAGCCTCAAACAGTCAGACACCTCCTGTGTATCCTTGCTCAGCTAGCTAAATGGCTAACAAACAGAGAACACACGCCTCTGTTGAACATGAACATTGGAACACGTCTTGGTGGCTCCCGATGATGTATCTCCTAGGCAACCGGGGCGGGGCCAAGACATCGACGCAAGGTTCCTTGGCATTAAGAATAGTCCTCTGCGCTTTTTCAAACAAAAGCTAAAATAACTAAATAAAATAAGTAAATAGAGGCGTTAAAATGCTAACCTGGAATTAAAATGTGTCTTCAAATTTCACGGACATCATATTTATCCATGTAATCCATGGCACATATCAAACGGGATTAGAATAAAGCTTTAATCAATCAATCAATCAATCAATCAATCAATCAATCAATCAATCAATCAATCAATCAACCAACCAACCAACCAACCAACCAACCAACCAACCAACCAACCAACCAACCAATCAATCAATCAATCAATCAGAGCTTTATTTTTATATAGCACCTTCCACATCCCTTTTCGGGCGCCCAAGGCACTAGAACACATTGTAAAAAGACATATAGTCATAAAAAGAGAAGTTAAAACATAGAACATAAAACGTAGAGCATAAGGCAAAGGGATAAAACAATGAATAAAAGCAACCTACAAAGGAATAATACAGCAATTTAACAAGAACTAAAAATAACATAAAAGCAAAACGACTTCAAACATGTTCTGGAAACGCTAATTGAAAAAAAAAGTTTTCAGTCGACTCTTAAAAACCGGCAAAGAGGTAGACAGCCTAACTGCAGGTGGCAGCTGGCTCCACCGCCATGGGGCTAGGACCGAGAAAGCCTGGTCCCTCACGAGTTCCACACAGTGAGGGACGACAAGCGGGCCCTGATCAAAAGAGCGCAGAGTGCGTGAAGGAATTTTATGACCTCACTGACTTAGATTCATTTTTTTCTCATTTCCTGGGATCCGGAAACAGATAGGCGTGACTTGGGCTCCCTATTTCTGATTATAGTCAGTCACTCTTGAGTTTTTCATGCAGGCTGAACATGAAAATAGTCTCCTACACCCATCTCCTGCATTAGCGTCTAACAGAAAATAGACGGTGAAACTCTAGGATTAGAAAATCCTGACAGATCTACGTCACACTGTCACGTACCATTCATGGACTCACCCATCTTGACTCACGACGAGGAAGGCTGTCGTTGGTTTAGCGTCCAGGAAACCGCAGAGAGCGTCTCGGCTGGTAGAAGCTAGCCGTTAGCATTAGCAACTCATCATCACAGCAGAACTCCTCCAGGCTTGTGTTATTTGTGGAGATGAAACATCATTAGCCAATCAGAGGTGAGATGTCCAAATATTAGGAAATAAGACTAAATCCTGCCGTCTGAAACTACGCCCCCCCTCCAAAAGAATGACTTACAAAGCATTCATTCTTACTAATGACCGAATGTGTTAAAAACATGAGTAAAGTTTAACTTCAGGCTAAACGGCGTTTTTTATGGGTGCAGCTTCAAACGTACCATTGCATTTTCTGCAGGTCTGTGCAGGAAGCCACATTTTTCTATTTGTGCAAACAAAACGTGAAGCTGCACATGCAAAAGACACGCCTGATCTATAAAACGCAAGCAGGAGGTGCACGGCAGTGAGTCAGGCAGGAAGTCCTGTGCTAAAACTGCAGAGTGACTGGCATATGTGACTCAGTTTAAAGGACACAAGTAGGAAACAAGGAAAAGGACTCTGGACGTCATTAACATGCAAGCAAGCCTGCTGCTGTCAGACGCGATCCAAGCGTTTGCCTGTGCAGCACCTTATCTCCTAGAGTTATGAAAGTTAGACTTTTCTTTTCTTCCTATTTAGAAACGGATCAGCTCTAATCCTAATCCGGTAGTCCTTGTTTGGTCACATTTTTTTTCAAGTAGCAATTAAACAGGAAAAATTGTCCACACCTGCAAGTTGTTTTTGTGGTTTATTCACTATTTAGATGTTACTGTTGGTTGAAGCACCTTTAGTTTTTGTTATCAGTGCATCAGTGATGGTGCATGGAGTTTGCACTTTTCCATTTGTTTTGAGGATGTTTAATTGACAGAAATATTGTTAAAACTGATGTTCCTGCATTTTTACTGCATCATATGCATTTCACTAAAAGACCAAAAACAAAACAATCAATCTCGTTTGTTTGTTTGTTTGTTTGTTTTCGGACGTTGCTTAGCAGAATGCACACACCCAGGAGTTTATTTAATTATTCTTTTTATTTTACAGGAAACAATATTTCTAAAACTATTTTTAAAGAATACTTGCAGATTTTTAAATAATATTCATGTAACAATTGAAATGAACTAATCCAGTAAAGGGAGTTTTCCTCCGTCGCTGCGTGCTTTGCTTAGTATGAGGATTGCTGACTCCGACACTAGTCAGTGGCTCGATGCAACCTGCTGGGTTCCTTATATAGGAAACCTTTTACTGATTGGCTTAATGAGCTGAACTCAATTGGATCGTTTACTTTGTGAAGCGCCTTGAGACGACTCTTGTCGTGATTTGTGTGCAATGGAAAAAAACTGAATTGAGTTAAATTGAGTACAAAGAACACAACAACTTACTTTCATCCACATCTTTTCAGGTGTCTCTGATGTTAATCAAAGTTCAGGTTTTTCATTGACACTCAAACGTGTCTCTCTGTGATGCAGTATTGACGTGAACGGCACCATGACTGTGGACTGGAACGAGTTTAGGCAGCACTTCCTGTTCAACCCTGCCACCAGCCTGCAGGAGATCATCCGCTACTGGAAACACTCTACGGCATAGGTCGGGAGGGACACACGAAGAGACTACAGTCTCAGAAGAAGATAGCTTTTATTAGACATTGAATGTATGATTTTGAGTTTTATTCTGTGAAATTCTGTATTGGATTTTTTTACTTAAGGTGTGGGACACTGAAAACCCCATTTTAAATGATTTTCTCTGATTATAATCGGTCACTCAGAGATTTTCATGCAGGCTGAACATGAAAATAGTCTCCTACACCTATCTCCTGCATTAGCTTCTGATACAAAATAGACTCTAGAATTTGAAAATCCCGACAGATCTACGTCACACTGTCACTTATCATTTCATGGACTCGCCCATCTTGACTCACGACGGGGAAGTGTTGTTTTAACATCCAGGAAACAGCAGAGAACGTCTCAACCTGACGGCAGAAGCACCTCCAGGCGTGTGCTATCAGTGGAGATAGAACATCCTCGTCACAGGTCAGTGTACTAGGTCCGTGTTGCTGGTATCCAGCTCAGGGCGAGATGTCCAAATATCAGGAAATAAGACCTCAAAACCTGCCGTCTGAAGTAGGCCTGCACATCAACGATATCTGCATGTGCAATATGCATTTTGCAAAGAACAGAAAAAAACAATCAATGGCCAGCTCTAATGTTTCTACACATAATGCATTTCGTACACCAAACCGAAGCATCTCTCACCCATTTGACCAATCGGCTGGGTTCTTATAGGTTAGATGCCCCGCCCCCGAGGTGGACGGTACTGAAACACCTGAGTAACTTTGTTTCTGCTCTTTCTGCCATATTTTTGTTCATTTTCTTTTTCCCTTGCTTCATCTTTTGATCACAATTTTTGCTTTTCTCATTTGTTTTCAAATGAAACATTTTCTTTGTTTTTTGTTCTTGAGTTAAGTATTTGTTTATTTTAGGGTCGATTTTAGGGTCCAGTACAAGGTTCTTTTATTGGCTTTTAAAGCCGTACATGGCCTTGCTCCGCAGTATCTGTGTGAACTTTTACTTGCTCACTCCCCGTCTCGGTCACTGAGGTCAGCCAACCAGTTTCTCCCTGGAGGTGCAGAGAACGGAGAGAAAGCTCAGGGGTGATAGAGCTTTCTCAGTAGCAACTCCAAGGTTGTGGAATGCACTCCCAATCCAGATTAGGATGGTTTTCTTCACTGTCGGGTTTTAAATAGGGATGAGCGAGTACAACCACTGTCTGTATCTGTTCAACCACTCAAAATTATCTGTACTCGGAGTGGGTGTGGTCTAACCCGGAAGTGGGTGTGGTTTACATCAATACGTTATTTTAAGTCTGATCAGAAGTTGCTATGTGTTTTGTTTATTGAAAACTATTTACAGAGCAGCCTCGGAGTTGAGATTAAATGTTTTTGATCACAATAGTAAAGGAACTATTACAGAACAAGTTTTTCAATAAAATCAGAACATTAATATTGGGGGGGGGGGGGGAGAGAGAGAGAGAGAGAGAGAGAGAGAGAGAGAGAGAGACGAGAGAGAGACGAGAGAGAGAGAGAGAGAGAGAGAGAGAGAGGAGAGGAGAGGAGACGAGAGAGTAGACGAGAGAGAGAAGAGAAGAGAGAGAGAAGAGAGAGAGAGAGAGAGACGAGAGAGAGAGAGAGAGAGAGAGAGAGAGAGAGAAGAGAGAGAGAGAGAGAGACGAGAGAGAGAGAGAGAGAGAGAGAGAGTCGAGAGAGAGAGAGAGAGAGAGAGAGAGACGAGACGAGAGAGAGAGAGACGAGAGAGAGAGAAGAGAGAGAGAGAGATTTTTTTTCTTTAGATCCTAAGAAGTTATCTATGGTTGGTTTAGTTTGTTTAGGTAGTTGCATCTTCGGAGTGGCTGGCGTGGTAGTAACTCGCTTATGTTTTTTAATTTAACAGGTATATACATAATTTAAAAAGTAAAAAGGCTCATTACATATTTATAATGAAACTATATACCTATAATAATATAACCTTATCTCCCGTGTCACGTGACGTTACCCGCCGTGGAAGCCGCGATCACGTGATGCAAGTCTGTTCCATTTAAACCGTTTTTCTTTGACCAAGGAAGGACCGTGGTCCTCGTAAGCAAGGCGCCTGGCCTCGCAAAGACATCGCCTCGCCATGGCCAGGCGCCTTGGCATTGAGAAACACCCTCTATCAAGCTCTTACTGGCGTCATGTGATCCAAGAAGCGTAATTTGATTGGCTAAAAGCCCCTCGACTCGATTGCATGACCAATTACTTTGGCTTGAGTTGCCAGGAGGTAACCTAAGTTGTTGTAGAATTTTTATATGATAATGTTTTTGCTGGGGTGTATTTTAAAGAGCAAGTCACACCCCCTACAAGAAACTTACTTCACTCCCACTTCATGTTTGAAAAATGCAACAAATGCTGTTGCTTGGCAGACCGAGAGGGCGGAGCCGCTAACAAATACACACACACAGGCTCACAATGGCAATATGACATCATAATGTACCAGATGACATCATAGCATACCTCTTAGCCAATAGCGGTGGCAGATTTAAATTCAAATACAGTGCACAATTTTTCCCTGACGACGATGTAACACTGACAGTTTTAGGCAGAATATTTGAATTTTAACCAAGATGCACTGAACTGCCAAATTATTGACTACATGTGTCTGTAGCATGATTAGACACTCCTTTATATAGTTTATCAGCAAAAAAAATGTGATTTGGGGGTGACTTGCTCTTTAAGTAAAAGTACATAATTTCACAGAAGAAACTCGATGTCTAAAATAAAGTCGTATTCTGGTGAGGCTGTATTTCTTCCATACATATCTTGATAATGGAGTCAAGGATGCCTCCCACACAGAGAAATGACACCTGGAGGTAAAAGACCTCCCACTTGTGTCATTTGCAGGTAATAACAGATTGGAAGGGTAGATCGTTAAGGAAATTATCCAAATAAAATGTTTATTTGTTATGTAGTCCTATAGTAGAAACAAAGCTGTACCCAGCCAATGGCTAATCTCTGACGTTTGCTGCTTCTGTTCATCGGCTCAGCCACCACGAATAAATTACCTGGAGGGTTCTAAACTCAGCACAGATGAGCTAATTTCAATCTGACCTCTGTGCAGATTAGCTCGTCTCTGGGATTTGGGAAGGATGAGATGAAAGAAAATGAGTTCAGGGGGAAGTTCAGGGAAGTGAGATGAGGAATCAGTGTGTCTGTGGCATCCATGGCTGGTGGATCTCCCCGTCAGATCCAGGGTTTGAGGTTCAGGTTCTCGGCCGGCTTTGGAGTAGGACTGTGTGAGGATTGCCTTTTCAGTCTTCAGATCGATTAAAGACTTGGGAGGGTCATGGCTCTGCTGCAGCCTCAGCAGCAGCAACAGGCAAACTGGTTTTTCCTCCAGCTTGATGACGATGGGGAGATATTTGAGGTGGAGGTGGAAATGGTAGGTTCTGATTTCAGAATGTAGGAAAATCAAAATAAAGAAAATCATTCATTCTGTAAAAAAGGGAATTTTATACAAAATTTAACTTGAGAGTGTAAGTAACTAAACTAAACCTTTGGGAAAATTATTTAAATTACGATTTTAAAATATAAATGTATGTGATGCATAAAAATGATCAATGGATGATATGTTTGTTGCATTTGAACAATGCACAGAAAAAGAACACAATTTTAATTATTTAAAAAATGCTGATCTAAATAATCGAAAAGTGACTGATTAAAAAAACATGTTTGGATGCAGTTTGTCAGTTTTTTTTCCAGAACCTGCGTCATGTTTCAGATGAAATTTCACCTTTTGTGATTTTAAAATCTTATTATTATTGGCTGCAGTGACGCTATTTGGCCACTGCGTGTCGCTGTAGGTACTTAAAAATGAAGAGTCCACGTGCTCTGTCCTTTTGGGCATCAAGTTTACCGACCTTAATGTGAAAATATTTGTCTTTTATAGCAGTTTATTGGTTTAAACTTGCATTTAAATAAATTATTATTGTGGATGTAAATTAGTATGAATGAGCTTGAGAGTTATGGCTTCTAAAAAGGCTAGGTCTGAAAAGAGAAAAAAAATCTTCCTCCTGAAGGGAGAAAAAAATCTATGATTAAAACAACAATGAAATGCTGTTTTAAGGTTCTGGACATCGGTGACAGCCTGACCATCCCAGATGAGTTCACAGAGGAGGAGAAGACCACTGGTTTATGGTGGAGGCAGCTGGCAGCTGGGGGCATGGCTGGGGCCGTGTCCCGCACAGGAACCGCCCCGCTGGACAGGATGAAGGTCTTCATGCAAGTGGGTCACAACTTTATTTATTTATTTACAGTTTTTCTGTTATGGTGTTAGGCTCTTTTACTGATATCCAACTGTATTGTCAACTCTTCGTTTCCGATACCGATACAGGCTGTGTCCCCCTCTCAAAATAGAAAAACTAAAGCCTTCAAGGTTAATAACATCACATGTCTCCTATTATGCATGCTCAAATTTTAAAAATTTTCTGTGCAAAGGGACAACTTCAGTTTAAGGTAACAAGTAAAGCTCCATATTTATTCTGTCTTCGACAGCAGCTGAATCTCATTCTCACAAATTTAAGTCTCGTTTAAAGACTCATTTTTATCTGTTTGCGTTTTAGCGCTAGGGTCATTTGAATTGCCCTAACATTATGGTTTTAACTATTCTTCTTTTTAACCCAGATGCTTGATTTTATTTTGTCCGACATTTGTTTTTTTTTATCGATTAGTCTTATTCCGATATCTCTTATCTGTAATAGTGTTTGCTTGATATTTTATGATTTTATGTTTTTATCCTGCTTTTATGCCCATGTACTGGGAATGTTTTTCTTTTAATGATGTTGTTCAGCACCTCGGGCTTCGGATAATGTTGTAGAAGGTGCTATACAAATAAAATTTGATTGATTGATTGATCACAAATTTCTACTTCACAGGTTGTACCAAAAAACTTTATCTCAAAGACTTTACCACAGATCTGTCATACTTTGACATCAAGGAGGAGGATTAGCTAAAGAGTTTGATGTATAATACACTCACTGGCCACTTTATTGGGTACACCTTGCTAGTACAGGGTTGGGCCCCCTTTTGCCTTCAGAACTGCCTTAATCCTTCATGGTACTGGAAACATTCCTCTGAGATTTTGGTCCATATTGACATGATAGCATCACGCAGTTGCTGCGGATTTATTCGCTGCACATCCGTGATGTGAATCTCCTGTTCCACCACATCCCAAAGGTGCTCTATTGAAACCAGATCTGGTGACTGTGGAGGCCATTTGAGTACAATGAACTCTGTCATATTCAAGAGATGATTCGAGCATTATGGCATGGTGCATTATCCTGCTGGAAGTAGCCATCAAAAGATGGGTACACTGTGGTCATAAAGGGATGGACATGATCAGCAACAATACTCAGGTAGGCTGTGGCGTTGCAACGATGATCAGTTAGAATTAAGGGGCCCAAAGTGTGCCAAGAAAATGTCTCCCACATCATTTCACCTCCACCACCCGCCTGAACCGTTGATACAAGGCTGGATTCATGCTTGTACTGAAACTCTAATTTCTCTCTGGGATTAATAAAGTATCTTTGATTGATTGATATTAATTGATTGATTGATTGAATGTTTAACCAGAAGATTTAGAATTCTTCGTATTAATTCAAAGTCAAGTTTATAAAAGTAATAAATTTATTTTCTAAACAATTAAAAACATGACAACTAGGAAACACTTTTATGTGATGAATGAATCTAAGTGGATGGAATGTGAGGTGTGATGATGTGTGAATGTGATGTTATCAGAACCTTCGTATCTGGAGAAATTGAGTTCTGAGTGGGAGTGAGTTTGGTCAGCTATGAACTATCATTGCTGGTTTATAAAACCACATCAGATGCAATGTGTCAAGTCTACGTACCCTTATCGGAGACTCTCTTTTGGATGTCGGGGAGTCCGTGGACCCCGCAGTACCGAAGTCCGTAGAGAAACCGCAGTACAACCAGGTCAGTCCAGAGTCATCTCCAGGTCACGACAAACAGGTGGACTTGTTTGCGTCTATGGAAGGACCCTTACGGAGTCAGAGCTGTGTCAGCTTTGTTCTGAAGGGACCGTTTGCGGTATCAGCTGTAGCATGCAACAGGTTTTGACAGCTTGTCAAAAGGTGCGATGGGAGCAGAGTTTCCCTCCGATGGCCAGTCAGAGTAGGGCTCAACTGAATCACTCAGGAAGTGATGCTGTTTTAATAACGGCCATATTTTGGTTTACTGATAAATCAGAACTCTCCCTGTAAAGGGGTTTGCCAACAAACTCAGATACACACCTCCCTCAGATATGAAGACGCTGATTTTGTGGATAAGAAAATATCTATGTGCAGTGATGTTATATTTAACTTGCGTCATGGAGATATGGTGAATGTGTCTTGTCCAGTCAGTGTGCTGATTAAATATATGGGTCATATATTTCATTTCACCCTTATTATTCTTTCAATGTAATAATAATATTCATTTCAACTTCAGTAATTTAAGCACAGATTAATCAAAACATTTCATTTAACAATACTGTTCATTTCATTATATGATTTAATTATGAAAGTTCATCCTTCTTGTTCTGTGAAGCAAAGCAGTCTTAGACAAGTGGAAGCTGGAGAGAGACCTTGGTCAAGCAACAGTATCTTTCTTACAGATTAAAGGCACCAGTTAAGACTTATGTCTCCATATGGCCAGATACTCAAGAGGTCACACTGTAGGTGGAAAACTGACCATTTCTGGAGGCTACAACTCTCGCTGCCGGTTTTGCAGACTCGGATGAAGACAATGGCGTTCCCTCAGCACATGAGCTAGCCATATTTTTAGATCATTTAGCAATTTTTAATCCAGTTTTATTTCACATATTTTATCTTGTTTTTTCATGATCATTCGTTGCTCTTATCTCCTGCTTTTATCTGTTTTTATGTCTATTTTTGTTGACCGTTGTATGGGTCAGCAATGTTTTTCATGCATGTACAGCATTTTGGTTCGCCTCTTGGCAGTTGGAAGGTGCTATATAAATAAAGTTGATGATGATGATGATGTCAACATGCCTAAATGTATTGAGTTACCATCATGTGATTGGCTGATTAGTAATTTGTGTTAATAAGCAGTTGGACAGGTGTACCCAATAAAGTGGCCACCGAGTGTATGTGTGTGTGTGTAAAGGTTGAGTCATTAATAGACTGAAAACCGACGCCAATATTTTACGATATTGAATTTTAATGCCGATATTAATGGCGGACTGATAATATGGACAATCCCTAGTTATAAACTGAACATTGCTTGTATATTTAAACATTTTTATTTTCAGGTTCATTCTTCTAAGAGCAATAAAATCAGCCTGGTGGGCGGCTTCAAGCAGATGTTAAAGGAAGGAGGGGTGACATCGTTGTGGAGAGGAAACGGAGTTAACGTTCTCAAGATTGCTCCTGAGACAGCCATTAAATTCATGGCCTATGAACAGGTGAATATATTTTACTACACAACTCGGGATCATGGTTGAAAATGTGGATGTTTATTTTAGATTATTTAGAACCTTTGCTGAGTCGTGATGTGTGATCGTGTCTCGTCAGTATAAGAAGCTGCTCTCCAGCGAACCGGGGAAAATCCAGACCCACGAAAGGTTCATGGCAGGATCACTGGCAGGAGCCACGGCGCAAACCGCCATCTACCCCATGGAGGTGAGCTGACACTGGGCTTCACCTGTGCAGACATAAGTAATGGATTTGATCTTGGAGGGAGCTCCTCCCTGGGTTATCACAGGAGCTACTTTTGCTCTACCGACCATCTTTTCTCTCATCAGGTGATGAAAACCCGTCTGACGCTGAGGAAAACCGGACAGTACTCCGGAATGTTCGACTGTGCCAAGAAGATCCTGAAGAGGGAAGGCGTCAAGGCGTTTTACAAGGGCTACGTTCCCAATATCCTGGGTATTATTCCCTACGCTGGGATCGATCTGGCCGTGTACGAGGTACATTCAATCACATTTTTATACTTTCAAATTTAAAAAGGTGTTTAAATTTATTGTCCATCAATGTTTTCCTAACCAGAGCTTGAAGAACTTCTGGTTGTCCAAATACGCCAAAGACACAGCAAACCCCGGTGTTCTGGTGCTACTGGGCTGCGGCACCATCTCCAGCACTTGTGGCCAGCTGGCCAGTTACCCTCTGGCGCTGATCCGTACCCGCATGCAGGCTCAAGGTAAGGGGAACAAAATTTACATTTTCTTAGCAACAAATGTCAGAATTATCTCATGATCATGTGATCTTCAGTGGCAGTTTTACCATTAGGCATAGGTCGGCGGCCGCCTGGGGCCCCCTTATGTTGGGATGCCCCCTAGCCCTGACTGCTGGCACCCCTCTGTTAATGCCACAATGGACTATTCCTTTAACACTCCGATGCACAAACAAGAAGTGATTGGTAGTCATTTCACTCCAATCCAGTTGGTGGCAGTAATGCACCAAATTGTTGTTTGCCAAGTGCCATAAGACCACAAATAAGAAGAAGAAGAGAGGCGGGAGCGTTCGTAACAAACTCGAAGCGGTAGTCAAAACTTTAAGCATGAAATGGAGTTATCCCAGTGGCTCCAATTAGAGAAAGAAGCAGCATGCTTCAAAAAAGATTTTATCTTTCCAAAAGTGACGTCGTTTTTCAATGTAAACATCAAAAGGAAGCAGAAAAGGAAAGACAATGGAAAATGTTTAAAGAGAGGAAAACATAGACCAAAATGGAAAATAGAAAAAAACAAGAAATGCAAAAGCACAGGAGCACTGACAGGAAGCAGAAAGCACTAAAAAGGAGAGAAAGACAGGAAAAAAGAGGAGGACTAATAAAAGTGAAAATAACTCAAGTCAGAAGAGGGGAGAGTTTCGCAAAATCCAGTTAAAGACAAGATTGTCGAAAATTTTGTGTAAGGGGGCCCCCCTGTCTGTGTTCGCTTTGGGCCCCCAAATTGCTAAATCCGCCACTGGTGATCTTATCTTAGAAAGTATAAAAGTACAGGTGAACCGTGAGCAAAAATGTTAATAACGTCGCCAAATCATGACGAGTCGTCTCAAGGCACTTCACAAAGAGGTCAGTTCATTATGTCAATTAGTTTTCTGTTAGGAAATCCAGCAGATTGCATCGAGTCACTGACTTGTTGTGGGACTCTACAGCAATCCCCATACTAAGCAAGCATGTGGCAACATTGGAGAGGAAAACTCTCCTTTAACAGGAAGAAACCAGAAACAAAGCTGTCTGATTATGTATTGTGATTCTGCAGAACGCGGCTTTCAGTTTTCCTTTCTGAAACGACCCAACTCTCTTCTCAGCTTCTCTGGAGGGCTCGGAGCAGCAGCCGATGGGCCGCATGGTGAAGAATGTCCTGGAGAAGGAGGGCTTCTTTGGACTTTACCGGGGCATCCTGCCCAATTTCATGAAAGTAATACCAGCTGTCAGCATCAGCTATGTGGTCTACGAGTACACGCGCTCCGCTTTGGGGATCCAGAAGTAGACAACAGAGCCGTCCATTCCCCGTCAGTCTCTGTCCTTTTCTCTTAAGTACAGACTCACTTCCCTTTCCATCCAGCATTTAAATAAGTTGTTTACCCGGAGCTAGCTAAAGTTTGGACGTCAGCTGATGAAGGCGGAGGTTTTAAAGTGAGTTTAAAAAATGGTGCAGCACTAACAAGAGGTTTCCAGATGTTTACAGGTTCAGGTGCTCTGACACGTTCAGGGTGAAATGGCTTTAAATCACAGAGTGGTGGTTCAGGTAGACATTCTATTGTTTTATGATTCTTATACAGCAGTCACTTATTATTAAAAAAAGCACCTTATTTTATCCGTTTTGATCCTCGTTGAAGGTTTAAAGCCATCACCCGCTGTCTTTCTTAAAGCTATTCAGACCAAAAAGTCATGATGTCACAACTTTATACCGGCAACCCTGGGAGTAAAGGGGGCGTGTCCCTCAGAAATCTGAGAAAATGTCAAGTGCAATACTGTTTTTAAAACAAATGTCACACTAATGTTTCAGAAATCACCTCCTGTGGGACATCGTTGCACCTTTGGTAAAGCGAGAAGAAATGTGCCTTATTTTTTTCTCAGATATCTGTGGACTCTGCATCCTCCCTGTTGTTGTTTTTTTGCCTTGTTTTTCAGTGTTTGCTTCAGAGATGCTGGTGATTACAAAAATAAACATTTGACTACAGATAAATGTGAGCAGTTACTGAAAAGTGAAAACTATTTCACCTTGTACCTCCTGCTATGTAGCCCAACACAAGGGTTACACAACTGGCGAACTTCCGTGTTAGCCGTGCGTGTCGGGTGATCTCGTGGGGTTGACCTCCTGGGGCTCAAGGAACAGATTACCCCAGCTAAGATGTTATATAACAGCCTTTTACTTAGTGATTGTGTCACACTCAGCTTCAGCTGTCTGATTCCCAACAGTGTAGGACTCCAGGAAAAAAGCGTCACCTGATGCGTAGAGCAACAAAAATTATAGTTTAGTTTGGGCAAATGGCTAATTGTTGAAAATAGGTTTAAATACACTAATTTGCCGTTTATTAGGTAATAATATTGGTGCTTATTAAGTATAGTTACTGTTTTTCTCTGAGGTGCAGCTGGATTGCATCATCTAGGAGGACAGACCGAATCTGTAATAAAAAGAAAGGGTTTGTTCGGTTCTTCAGTTCACAGTATTAGACTCGAACCCACCTGCGTTCCTGATGTTCCAGGTGGGTTTTTTCCTTGATTTTTGAGGAGTGAGCACTACCTCGCCCTTGCCTCGTGGACCACAAACGATAAACAATCAACCCTGCTCAACCATTCCCTGTCCTGGAAGATCACCCGATAGGACAGTTGGATGGTTAAAGGTGCAATTTGTAAGAATTCTACTGTGAAATCATCTCAAAACAGCCTAATGCAGGGCTATTCAAGTTCGGGCCTCGAGGGTCGTTATACAGCACGTTTTAGTGGTTTCTCTGGTCCAACACATTAGATTCAGTGATTGAGTCACCTGTGCAGCAACTCATCAGGCTCTGCAGAAGCCTGTTAATCACCTGCTGATTGAAATCAGGTGTGTTGAAGCCGGGTTAAAACTAAAACGTGCTGGATACAAGCCCTCGAGACCCGGAAATGAATAGCCCTAACATCTCAATCGTGTTGGAAGGAAGTTTGCACAGAAACGATCTGAAGTTTTTCTCCTTTCACATAAAACAAAAACAGGACGTAGTTACTGTTTACACTCTGTGTTCGCTGAATCAGTGGCACAGGCGTTTGTAACTCAACACCAGCAGGTAAAAATCCCCAGAGCTCTTAAAAGAACCGAAGCCAGTAAACAAGAGCAACCCAGAAGTTATTTCCTGTCCCCATAAGAAGCCACAGCATCTTTTAGTTTTACTCTGATATTGGGTGAAGGAGACTAGAGGCTAACGTTGAGCTGACAATGAATTGGAAACAAATAAGTTGGCTCTAAAATTACAGTGAAATGGATGTGAAATAAATAAGTTAATTGTGGAGTTTTACTTCCATTAATGAGTCTTTCAGAACTGTAACAGCGCGCGAACAGCAGGGGCAGACTGGGACGATAATCCAGCCCTGGAATATCTCTCAGCAGGTAGGAGGCAGATCGTCACTGCAGTCAATGGACTGCAGTAACCAAATCTGACCACATAATGTCTTTCTAACAAACTGCACCTTTAAACTCCCACTCTGATAAATCTTAGTGGCAGTGTTTATGGGGTGGGTGGCCTTTTGTTAAGGGCCATTCAGTCCCTTTACCAGAGGAGCGTGAGTTTGGTCTGCATAGCAGGTAGTAAGTCGGACCTGTTCCCGGTGAGGGTTGGACTCCGCCAGGGCTGCCCGTTCATTACCTTTATGGACAGAATTTCTAGGTGCAGCCGTGGTGTGGAGTGTGTCGAGTTTGATGGCAGGAGAATCTCGTCTCTGCTTTTTGTGGATGATGTGGTCCTCCTAGCTTCATCCAGCTCTGACCTTCAGCTCTTGCTGGGTAGGTTCACGGCCGAGTGTGAAGCGGCTGGGACGAGGAGCAGCACCTCCAAATCTGAGACCATGGTTCTCGTCCGGAATAGTGGGGCTTGCCAACTCCGGATCGGGGGAGAGGTCCTACCTCAAGTGGAGGAGTTTAAGAATCTCGGGGTCTTGTTCACGAGTGAGGGTAGGAGGGATCGGGAGATCGACAGGCGGATTGGTTCAGCATCTGCAGTGATGCGGACGCTGAACCAATTTGTCGTGGTGAAGAGGGAGCTGAGCCAGAAAGCCAGGCTCTCGATTTACCGGTCGATCTACGTCCCAATCCTCACCTATGGTCATGAGCTTTGGTTAATGACCGAAAGAACGAGATCGCGGATACAAGCGGCCGAAATGAGTTTCCTCCGTAGGGTGGCCGGGTTCAGCCTTAGAGATAGGGTGAGGAGCTCGGACATTCGGGAGGGACTCGGAGTAGAACCGCTGCTCCTCCGGATCGAAAGGAGTCAGTTGAGGTGGTTTGGGCATCTGGTCAGGATGCCTCCTGGACGCCTCCCTGGGGAGGTGTTTTGGGCATGTCCTGCCGGCAGGAGGCCCCCGGGTCGACCCAGGACACGTTGGAGAGGTTACATCTCCAATCTGGTCCGGGAGCGCCTTGGGGTCCTGCCGGAGGAGCTGGTGGAGGTGGCCGGGGAGAGGACGGTCTGGAGCTCCCTAGTTGGGATGCTGCCCCCGCGACCCGGATAAGCGGAGGAAGACGACGACGACGCAGTGTTTATAAATGATGAATGTTGTGGATGTCTCGAAAGCTAACATACAAATTCACACAGTTTATTGTCCCAAGAGGCTTTAACATCACGACTTTGTCAAAAACATTTGGACTAAAAATAATTTCTCTTGTATCATTCATAAAAGAAGGGAACACATTGAAATCGCAGCCAACACGATGGGTGAAAATTTGCTTTAGTTTTGCAGCAGAAAGAAGTGTGGCACCGATTAAAAATCATCTGGGATTCTAAAACTTTTATTGTTGTGGAGGAGCTTGCAGAAGGAATCTTATGTCTGTCAGAAAAGATTCTTCTCTGGATAGCAACCGCTCATTACGAGAGTGCCAAGCAGAGAAAAGAAAGCCACCACGCTCAAGACGGTGCGCAGGGCCTTGAACCAGCTGGGGTAAGTTGGCAGCAGAGACAGATCATTATGCAGAGAGATTCCCAGCCCTATGATGACCGTGGTGCCTGCTGAAGCAATGTCACTCATCAACATGGCACTACAAGCTAACAGGGGGGGAACCACACTGTTGGCCAGGTTTAGCCAGTCAGGTTTAGCTGGACTACTCTCAGGAAGTGCAAATCCCCAACGGGCTCCACCCAGGAAAGAGACGATGGCTGCGCCATAGGCCACCTGAGCATAGGCCAGCTGCGGGTAATAGATCTCCATTACAGCCATGAGCAGAGTTGGAGAGACGAAGGGGATCAGCCCAGCAAACCCCAGGCAGAGGGCAGGTTTGGGTCCTTCCCACAAGTGTTTCATGTCATAGCGCATCAGGTCCAGCTCTTTAGGAGGGGGTTCAGGTTTTACTCGCTTCTTCAGCCTCACAGCAGAGGAGTGGAAGTGTTGATTCCTCACAAGAAGACAAGCGTTATGAGCTTGTGCCCTCTGGAAGGATCCAGTCAGACAAGGAGGTTTGAAATCCCTGTCTGAAGAGCTGGAGGAGGCAGATCCACTTGATGCCCCTGTTAGGACGGATGTCCATCTTTGACGACAAAGTGTCCAATGAAAATCCTAAAAAGAAACATTTATACACTTACTTCAGCTCTAAAATGTGTCAATTATATGGGCAAAGCCACTTTTAGAGTTAAGAGTACCTTTTGTGTTGCAACGGGGATTCTCTTAAATACAGCAGACAGCATCTGATAAAATCAGAAAAACAAACAAAAAGTATTTAATTATTTTTAAAAGCGGCTTTCAGTGAGAGAAGATTTGTTTTTGATGACTAAAAGTATAAAAGAAAGACGCTAACAGTGAAGGAAACGTTTTGACGCGAACCGAGTCAACGCAAACGTCACAGCGCGAAAGTTCGTCTAATTTCCACAATCTAAAATAACATTAAAATATTTTTGACATATGTTTACCTTTGGTTCACCAGGAAACTCGCATATTTTAAGTAAAATAAAGCATACGGCCACAGCGTCACCTTTAAAGCAGTGGGTACGCGGTTTATTCCTTCCGTGCTCCTCGGTTGCCGCGACTTAAGGTCCGCTACAAAAACATCAGGGCTAATAATAATAATAATAATAATAATAATAATAATAATAATAATAATAAAATAATAATAAAATAAAATTATATGTCCTGCCACGCTAACTACACCGATTTAGTAAACAAGCCTTCATTTTTCCCCTAGTAGTTTTTTGCATCATTCAGCACATAAGAAAAAAAAATGTAATGTCATGAAACAAACGTCACAACCAGTAATTTCCTTCAAATATTTACCTCTTATTTTGCGCACGAGAACGGATTCATCCCAAATGTGCAAATAATGTAGCCTGGCAATTATCCGATGTAGCCTATTAATTTGATCTGTGCCTACAAATGGAATTTCATGACACAGTCATTTTTTATTGGCGAGGGCCAAATAGTTTTCATCTAGGCTACATTTATTTGTTTCAGTTAAAACCAGAGGAGCCAGTTAACTTACTGCAGAGCTTTCTTCTGTTTTGACATTCAGGAAGCCAGAATGATTTTGTGGAAACAACGAATAGAAATTAAAAAATCTAAACTAGAAAAGACTCAGATGATAGGATGTAGTTTATCAAGCCTGTAAGGCTTTTGTGTTTGAATGCTTCATTGCATAACAATAAAAGTCTAAGTGTACTCTCAATAACCCATTCTGAATTGTGTCTTTTATTTGATCAAAGTGGTGTTGCACAAGGCAGACATGGAGGAAACGTCATAAACTTTATTAATCCAGCAGTTAGGTTACAATCTGAGAAAAAATATGTAAATGAAGCCAATACTGCAGTATATTAACTTAGATTAAATTAAAAATGTCCAAGAGGTTTAACATGTTGTTAGATGTAAAACAGGCTGATTTTTGGACAAATGATCAGTCCTGAGTTTGTCTCATGGTTATGGCCCACTAGGGGGCAGCAACTAACCATAAAATTAATCAGCAGAAATGATATTTATGAGACAAGAAAAGGAAAATTTAAACAAAGAACAAGCAAAGGAATTAAATAAACGAAGATAGCATGGTGCGTGCATCACACACTGGTTAGTTGTGGGAGTTAGACTCAACAGAGAATTAATTAACAATATAAACTTAGAGTAACCCTTGAAGAACTCTGTCATTTCCAGTGTTTTCAGATCCCTCACTGTGATCAATGAGCTCTTTATACAGAAAGATGATGAAATGAATGTAAAAGCAACCAACAGAAAACAGAATAAATATAGGAGCAACGTCCGCCGTCAGCCACAGGAAGTACTCAGGCCCCGTCGCTCTGAAAGACAAACATCGTTCACATTTTTATGGTTTCATTTTTTTCTAATGGATGTGAAAAACAGAATGAAGTATGAGAAACGTGAGACTCATTGGAAGTGAACCCAGCTTGACTAGATACTGACCCCCCCACAGCAGCCACAGCAGTCCCCACACAGAGCTCCCAGCAGGCCGTTCACCACCTGCACAGCACACAGAACCATCTGGATCAAACCCATCACCAGCAGCACCGAGAACAGAGACAGGTGCCAGGACACCACGTCCTTCGGCTCCGTGCATTGCTTCCGCAGTGTACTGTTAGACAGGTAGTCCCTGGAAGGAGGAAAGAAGTAAAAAAGAAACATCAGCAAATACCAACTGATTTTTAATACTAGGTCATTACCTCCATTGCAGTTTTACAAAGTATTTATGCACTAACCCAGAATACACTGACATTTTTAACTGATAAAACCCGTTTTCGGTGACATCTGTCCTTTAAATCAGCTGTAATTTTGCACATCTCACCCATCTGAGAAGGGATAACTCCACTCGGTGCCATTCACGAGACAGAGAGGACCTTCGTTGATGGCCACACCAGACACAACCACCGAATAACCTGCTCCTAAAACGCCAACAGCTGCAAACAGTATCGAGCTCAGCATCTGCATGGAGACATAAATGAATAGAGGAAAACAAAATGGTGAGTGAGTGAGTGACTCATTCAGCAAAACAAAATGGTGAAGTTGCAAATTTCTGGCCACAGGGGCTGGTGTGATCTGAGTGACACGTCATGGGTCATTTTAGCAGATACTGGCTCAAGAAAATGGTTTAAAAATATATATAAGTTGCCTTTAATTCTAAAATCTAGCCTGCTGCATTTGATTCCACCTGCCATGACAGTCGTGGGTAACCACGGAAACGCTCCCTCCTGTACGTTTATCTGACAGGTACAGACATTTTTGAACTACCAGTCAATCACCCATCTTTCTTCATAGGAGTTCTCATCATCTGCTAAACTGAGTTGTACAAAAACAAATTGTCTCAAATGTAAATGGCTGCAAGCAAAGTCATTTACTAAATTGTATATAAATGGGAGTTAACCCGGATGTGGAAGTGGCGTTGGCATTCCACCTGGTTTGGCGTGTTGCTTCCATGTAAGTTGAGGTATATCGCTCAGAAAGTGTCATCCTGACTGATGCTTTATACATTTGGTCTATGGCCTCGCTGTGCCAAGCCTTTGCGTGACGTTTGCCTGGATTGCACGCCATGGCAAGAGGAGCAAGGCATATCTGTTTTTCTTTGTTTTCTTTTTTTGCTCCAGATGTTCATCAGCAATTGTATTTAACATTTGTAAATGACGTATTTTCAGTTGTACGATGCTTGGTGCCTGATTGATCGTTGGAGTGAGACGTACGTTGCATCATCAGCCTAACGAACGCAAACAGATTGCACCCGTCGAAGCTCTCCTCCTTCTCTTTTTTTTTTCTTGGATGTCAAGGGGCGGCAATATCAAATCTGTCCCCAATCTGGTCAGATTATTGAACACTGACTGAGTCGTGCAGCATGTGAACATTAAAATTTGTGCAGAAATTAATCATTGTGATGAACTTTTTGGTCTGTATTTCTTTTTCTTGGAGCGGGTGGGCAGCTATTGTGAGATAAGATGTTTATGTTTGTTTGTTTATGTATTTAGCAGACGCTTTTGTCCAAAGCGACTTTCAAGTGATAATCGGCATGTTGCCCTTGAGGCTAACAACAACAATAACAACAACAACATTGACATCAATCATGGAGAGGAGGGAACAAGGAGTGGACAGTAGAGAGGGGGGACGGGTGCAGGGAGGGTGCTGGTTTAGAAGATGCTCTCTGAAGAGCAGGGTCTTCAGGAGTTTCTTGAAAATTGAAAAGGAAGCCCCTGTTCTGGTAGTGCTTGGAAGGTCATTCCACATTTGTGGAACGATGCATGAGAAGAGTCTGGATTGTCCTGAGCGTGGTGTAGGCACTGCTAGCCGACGGTCCTGTGATGACCGAAGCGGCCGGGCCGAGACGTAAGCCTTTGCAAGAGGATTCAGGTAGATGGGAGCCGTACCGTCTCAGACTTTGTATGCTAGTGCTAGCAATTTGAATTTGATGCGTGCTGCTAGCGGTAGCCAGTGGAGCTCAATGAGCAGAGGGGTGGACAGTAGATTGCACCAGGAGCTGGGTGGCATGTTGTGTTAGGTATGGTCTGATCTTTCTTATGTTAAACAGCGCAAAGCGGCATGACCGAGCAACAGAGGCAACATGATCTTTAAAGGTCAGGAGTTCATCAATCACAACACCCAGATTTCGAACTGCCTTTGAAGGAGCCAGAGATAGGAAGTCATTTTGGATTGAGATATTGTGCTGTATGGATGGTTAAACTGGGATGACAAGTAGTTCAGTTTTAGAGAGGTTGAGTTGGAGATGGTGGGATTTCATCCATTTTGATATGTCAGAGAGACAGTTTGATATTCGTGCAGAGACAGTGTGGTCGTCCGGTGGAAATGACAGATGGAGCTGGGTGTCGTCTGCATAGCAGTGGTAGGAGAAGCCAAGTGATCGAATGATCTCACCCAGTGAGGTGGTGTATATGGCAAAGAGAAGAGGTCCTAGTACAGAGCCCTGGGGGACTCCTGTGGCAAGATGGTACACGGTAGAGGATTGTCCAAGCCAAGATACACTGAATGATCATCCTGTGAGGTACGATTCAAATCAGGCATGTGCTTTCTCTGTGATGCCCATGCTAGAGAGTGTGGACAAAATATGAGATCACGAGGTTATATTGGACTTGGTTTTAATTAGTTTCAATTCCACGTGGAACGGTAACTGGTTTAAAGTTCAAGTCCCACTGGTTGTCGCGCTCACTGGTGTGTGACATGTGTTCTCTGCATTTGACCCGTGCCCTGGGGGAGCGGTGAGCTGCCGAGACGGCCGTGCTCAGGAACATTTTGTTGGTTTAATAAGCATTTATATATTGTATTTATATAGAGCCTTCTATAGGGTTCTACATCCTCCCAAAACACTTTACAACTAACCAGTCATTCACCCTTTTGCACCCATTCACACTGCTAATAACTAGCAATGATAATAAAGGTTTGTTCAGACCCATGGTTGGGGTTGTTAAATCTGACTAAGTTGTGAAGCTGTGAGTGTGTTATCTCAGAGCTGCACATTCCTGATCGATTTCTTAGTGTGTGTGTGTGTGTGTGTGTGTGTGTGTGTGTGTGTGTGTGTGTGTGTGTGTGTGTGTGTGTGTGTTGGGGGGTTGTCTAGCTGAACAATACTAGCTTTGTGTACGAAGCTCATGTGAAACGGCCACCAGGGTGAATGCTGTGGGTCATTGACTGAATTTTCACTGATGTGTGTGCATCTTTTATATGTTTTTACATTTATGGCTGTGCAAACGATGGCGGGTGTGTACACAGCACCGTTTTGTTTGTTTTCCATCACGTCCTTGGTCTGATGGGGCTTTACAGTTAACAGGTGACGTGCAGTAAAACATCAGTAGGAAGTGTGGAGCAGCCAAACAAGGCCGCTGACTGGAATCATTTCCCAGTTGATCTCGCTAATTATTATCAATTATTTATTTCTTATTTTGATCTCTGACTCACCTCACACCAAAGTGCCTTTGAGCAGGACGCTGAACCCTTCAGACTGTTCCAGATGTGTTAATCTATGCATGAAAGTTCTTAAAAGTTTTTATCCAGTATTAAATCTTAAAATGTTCTCTTTCTCGCCAGTGTGTTGGGTAGATTAAAACGTCCACATTAAAATTCACTCCTTCACAGCCAGGGAAACGCTCTCTTGGTGTTCGATTTAATTCAGTGTCTTTCATGTTGTGTCCCAAAGGTCAGGAAGGTGCAGAACCAGCGCTACTGGTAGCATAAAGAAGGGTTTCAACTGCAAGGACATCCATTTGTTTGTAGACAGCCATCTTGAAGATATGAATTTGTTATTTGAAGTATGTTTATGGTCATTTTGCAGCTGATAGCAACATAAAGGAGATGAAACTCCACCAAAGAGTCACGTTTATATCTATTAATGTCAGCTTTTACTCAGATTTGATGTTTAAAAGGTTTAATTTGTTGCAGCTTGTTTTTCTGTCACTTATTCACCACCGGAGTCTCATCCTGTAATGACAAATGGCATATTTATTTATTTTGAATGGAGAATTTGCAACTGCTGATAAAAAGGGTTCCGTAAAACACATTTAACACGAATGCATTTGGTTCTACGTTGCACCGAGTGACAGCCCAGGCGCCCCGTTAGTCTGACTTTGAGCAGATTCATCACTAAAAGCCTTCAGAAATGCTGCAAAAAAGTTTACCTACACAAAAGTCATTTGTGCACAAACAAGTTGCATTAATGAGGCCTTTGCTCCTTACAGACTCGTACGTTGGTCTGACATCACTAAGGTTAATGAAAACTTTATTCATGCAGACAAAGGATCAGGGGCGTGTCCAGGGAGTGGCCTGGGGTAGCACATGCCACCCTTGGAATCTGATTGGCCACCCCAGGTGTCACCACACTGAATTCTCTTTAAATAGGCTCTTTGTTGTCCACAAAAGGCTTGAGGTGAAACAAAAAAGCATAACCATTGGTGCCACCTATGCACAAAGTAGTGCCTCACCTGGGCCACCCCATTTTAAAAGATCTGGACACGCCACTGCAAAGGATTTCTGTGAAGGCGCACAAGAATGAATGTTGTCAACACTTCTCTTGGTGAAAGTCTTCAAACTCAAGATGAAGAGTCGTCCTCATTGTGATAAAGCTGTCAGATTCCATCCATTTTCAGCAGCTCATCCAGAGTCGCGTCGTGGCGGCAGCAGCCCAAGCCTGACAGATCTACGTCACACTGTCACTTATCATTCATGGACTCGCCCATCTTGACTCACGAAGGGGAAGAGTGTTGTTTTAACATCCAGGAAACAGCAGAGAACGTCTCAACCTGACGGCAGAAGCACTTCCAGGCTTGTGTGGAGATAGAACATCCTTGTCACAAGTCAGTGGTAGAGTCGTGTTGCTGGTATCCAGCTCGGGGCGAGATGTCCAAAAATCAGGAAATAGGACCTCAAAACCTGCCATCTGAAGTAGGGCTGCACATCGCGATATCTTAAGGCGATTCCTGACCAGCAGAGAGACATAGCCCCTCCAGCCTGTCCTGGGTCTTCTCTTGGGACGGTGCCCGGAAAACCTCACCAGGAAGGCGTCCAGGAGGCATCCTAACTAGATGCTTGAGCTCCTCTTGATGTGGAGGAGCAGCGGGTCTACTCCAAGCCCCTCCAAGCTTCTCCCCCTATCTCTAAGGGAGAGCCCAGCCACCCTGCAAGAAAAACTCATTTCGGCCGCTTGTATCCGCGATCTCGTTCTTTCGGTCATTGCCCAAAGCTCGTGACCATAGGTGAGGGTAGGAACGTAGATCGACCAGTAAATCGAGAGCTTTGCTTCCAGCTCAGCTCTCTCTTCACCACGACAGATGGTACAACGCCCACATCACTGCAGACATATCACCAATCCGCCTATCGATCTCACGCTCCATCTTTCCCTCACTTGTGAACAAGACCCCGAGATACTTCCTCCACTTGGAACAGGACCTCATCCCTGACCCAGAGACGGCATTCTACATTTTTCCAATTCATTAGCTGAATTTAATTTTTTGGGATATTTGCATTTGTCTAGGTAAACTCAAAATTTCCCTGATTTTCTGTAACCAACATTGTCCCAAATCGAAATGATAAAAGTGTGATAACTTTATTTTATAAACAAAATGTCTGCTCACCGCAAATCTTCGCCCACAGCTTTCATTTCCACAGCAGCCACAGCAGTCGTTGTTCTTCAGACCAAGGAAGACTAAAGCTGGGAAGATCATCTGCCACCCAAACACACCCCAGTTCACACACAGAGACAAAAGACACGACCACACGTAAAAAAACTGAACACAGAACGTCTCGCTGTGCTTAAAACCTCACAGCCTCCTTCAAATGTGGTCAATATGACAAAAAAATAAATAAAAAATCAACTGATTTGACCAGAAACTGGCCGTTCTTCTGTAAATGCACTAGAGCCACATAATGTCTTTACACGTTTTACATCTAAACTTTAACAAATCTGATTTTCTTACATATTTAATTACTTTGTTAGTTTTAAGCTTACAAAAAGTAGAAATCTTTATTATGATAAAAGCTCAACAGTCCTGTACATTTTTACTATGTTTTTTTTCTTTGGATAAAAGGAATCAACATAAATTCACCAGTACATCATTTGTTTTCATTATTGTTTCAGTAACTCACCAGCACACCTGATCCCAGGATGCCTCCCAGAAAAAAAGCGTGCCTTGTGATTTGATCCTTCTCCACGACAGTTCCACCGGGAAAGAACAGCAGGATGTTGCAGAGCACACACACGATGGAAAGAGGCATCAGGCTGATACCCAGACACTTTGCAAAGCCGCCTGAACACATTCTGACCCTTTTCCTTCAAAGGTCGTTGACAGCAACAGTTCTGCAGAATTTCAAACCTGTCAGGTGAGTTGTTGAGTCCCGTCTCGATCCCCTCTAGGTGGGCTTGAGACGTCAAAATTCACTTTTTAATTAAAAGTACAACTGAATTCGACTGCAGCTTTTGAGCACCTTCTAAAACTAACACGCTACTTTTTCTTCTGAAATCTCCAAACGCACTGGCTGGTGTCATGCGCTTCACCTGTTTTACTGCTGAGGATTATTCTTGCTCGCTTTGAGCTTTTATAGCGTCCGCCTCTCCTCGTGTGTGATCTCATCGCTTCACTTTTATGTCAGCGAGCTGTGACACTGCAGGATCTCTGTCACACACATACACACAAACACACACATGGTCCTAGCAGCAAACAAGACTCACAGAGGGCCATTAAAGTAGGACTACATACCTATGTGTGCACAGACACCAGTGAAGACTAGTGGTTAATGTTCTACCATTGGTTTTGTGTGCATGGAGACAGAGGGGGGAGTAACAGCCAGTCGGTCGATGCAGTGGAGACCTCATGGCTGATCTGCACCTAACTAAAGCTCAGTGAGTAACACAAAAGGCAGCCCAGTGTAGGCGTGAACAAAAGTGATCAATCCATACAAATCTATGGATAGCATTTTGACCACTGCACTGGCTAAAATCAATCTACAGAATGTGTAACTGGTGATGAATCATTTGTACTTTTTGTATCTTTATTGGGCTCTTTTAAATTAAAGAATGTATCATAAATCTTTATTTAAAAGATCTAAAATTGAATTTCATCTTTGAGAAGTTGCTCAAAATCAAACACATGAATTTACCTAATATGAACTTTCTCGAGTAATGAAAGGAAAATTCTAGATTTGTTCCCGCTGATGTCTTTTAGTTATGTTCTGGTGTGAATCTGGGATTTTAGTTTGTAGTCTTCTTCGTTCTGTCACTTAAGACACTTATCTAAGGTAAAACCATTCCTGCAGAGACTGTTGTTCATGCTTTTGTTACAATTCACACCTGAGTATTGTAACTCTGTCCAATTAGCTGTGGGACAGAGACAGTGCCTTAGCTCAATTACAACTCATTCAAAATGCTGCAGAGAGACTTTTGCATGGTAAAAGAAATTTAACCTTTAGAACACATTGTAAAGATATTTTCTTGGTTTTTAAAGCTTTGGCTGTTCTGCCATACTTGGCTGATTGTGCAGCCCTATGTCCCTAATGCACAGGTTTCACTGACTTTGAGGTTAAAAAGGAGAACAGAATGTAAACATTAGCTAATCATTCAAACTCAAAAATTCTAATGAGAAAACCCCCATTTTAGTGTGTTCTCTTTTTGTTTTTGTTCTCAGTCTCTGTGCTTATTTTATTTTATCGAATACTTCTTGTGAATTAGACTAAGAGTCTGGAATAAAAGCTACTTGATTTGATTTAGTCAAAAACACGATTTTAAAAACTGCAGAATAAAAAAACTGCTACAAACGCTTCTTTATATTTAAAATCAGGACAAGAGAAAAACAATAATACGCATTGAATAAACTGATAATAAATAGCTCTCACTACAAACAAAAATCTCTCAAATATCCAAATGTTTTACTAGTGATAAAAAACTAGCCTGTAAATAAATATGTTGTTTAACTTTGCAAAGCAAGAATTTGGTCTAGTTCACTAATAAACCCGCATGTTCAATCGATGTTATCTGGGACCCCGTTTGACCTCACTGAGTCAAAAGTAATCGATATCAGAGTAATCGATCACAGCTAAAAGTGAAGCGGTTTAAGTTATTTTTTTTCAATTTCTGCCGCATTTTCCCAGTCGTTGCTGGTGGTTGCAGCAGAATGGACTCCGGCTTGACCTTCGCCTCTCACCGGTCTCCTGTGGTGTGTTTACACGGCTGCGTGGCGTCTAGTCAACCGCTAGCTTCCACCGTAGGACTGGGTGAGTGAGTTAGTGGACTGTTGCTAGAGTTTAATCGGAGGAGCGATAAGAAAATCTTAGATCACGTAGAGTTTTTTCCCTCTTTTTATGTTGTGAAAATGTTGGGCTTTGTGAAAGCCTTTTTAAAGCAAATGCACACAAACATCTAGCATTGCCTCCTTTAAATTCAACGATATTTTAACCACAAAACCATCAATGAGTTAATTGGGAGAGATCAATTTAGGCAAAAGTCCAGAGAAAGCCGCAATTTAGGTCACAAAACTATTAAAAAAATTAAAACCTATTAGAGAAAGGAAACCTAAAAAAATCCCAATACGTACACAATGTTATTTTTTTTAGTTATTTTTTTCATGCTCACAACGTAAACATTAACCCGTGGTGACACAGCCCGTTTCAAGCTTCTTGAGTCATTTATTCTAGCTTGACCAAGGGCAATTCTACCCATGCATATATCAAAATTATTTCACTCCTTTTTATTTATTTTTCCAACATTTTGATGAATTTATTCTAATCTTTTTCTATGTCAAAAGGTTTTGTGGTTTTTTAGGGTTAGATATTTGAAATAACTGGAACTGTAAAGATGAATAAACATAAAATTCTGTATTAGAAACACCAGTAAATTCAGTCACTCATAAAACAAATAATAATGCAACATATAAATTCAATATACATAATAAGGATTATAAATCTTAAATATAATATTTAATTTTTGTACATGGGAATATTTTCTTTATTCTCTGATCATCAAAGCTTTTAAAGAGCAAGTAACGTCTAAATGAACTTTTTTTTGCTGATGAACTGTATAAATGAGTGTCTAATAGTGTTTTAAATGGGTGTATTCATTATTTTAGCATTTTGGTGCATTTTCTTTAAAAATTAAACATTCTGCCTAAATACCACAGTATAGCGCCACCTTCAGCTTAAAACATAGAGTTTGAGTCATTTTGAATACACTTTAGCCAATGGCTAAAGAGAGCAATACTACGTAAACCAGCAGAGTACTACGTAGCAGCTCTGTGTCAAAGTTATAAAGCATCGAGAGTCTCGGCCACGCCTTGTGGCGAGTTGGGAGTTGGATTTGCAAGCGAGTGTAGGACGGTTAGCGGTAGTTCAGCATTAGCATATAGCATTAGGATATCCTAATCTTTAGCATAGCTTTTAGTGTTATACATACTTGTTTAGTGTTAGCTTGGCTGTTGGATATTGTAGTTTAGTTAGTGTTTAGCTGTTAGTGTAATTAGGTAAGTAGTTCGGGTTTAGTGTTCCATATCGTGTTAGTATGGTGAGAAGGTGTAGTGTAGTGTGGTTGCGGTGGCTCTGTGGGGTTGTACTCCTTTCCACTGGACTTAGAAATTAGGCGCCAGTGGTTGCGCACAATCGGTGTACTGGAAATCAGTCAGCTCCCGCCTGGTGCTGTAGTTTTCAACCAGCATTTTACACGCGATTCCTTCTCCAACATGATGGAGTTTGAACTGGGTTATTCTGCACGTCTCCGTTTGAAGAGGGAGGCCGTGCCCACTCTGGTTTCATATCATTCAATTTTAAACATCTGAGAACAAAGGTAGGCACAGTATATGATAAAATATTACTGTTGGCACTATTAAGGTGTTATTTATCTTGAATATGAGTCAGTTTCATCAGCCTGAACGCTTTGTTTCAGTGAAACTCTGTCCATGCCTGCTCCGACAACACGTACCTACAACAGCGTCTTAGAAAAGATGGTGACAGTGTTGGCAATGGTAGTCAGTCCTGCCATGTGTTGACGTGGGTTCAAATCCTGGTGGTGTTTGTAGTAATTTATTTAGCCAGCTGAAGCAGATTTCATGTTTTTATATTTTAGTTTTATTGATTATTTTCTGCAACGGATTTTCTAAACATCTTTGAATTTGGTCATTTCCAAGCAGCATTTAATTTGATTTAATCAGCTCACCTCACTTGAACTCACACTGGCTAAGCAAAGAAAGTAAAAAACAAAAAAAAAAACAATCCAAAACTTTTGTAAAGCTGTTATATTTTAAGAGTCTACCAATAAAGGACAGAAAACATCAAACTGGAAAGTTAGAAAAAGTTACTGCTGAGACTGGGATGTGAACCTGTGCAAAAGGTACCTGTTAACCCAGATCTCTAACCACTGGACCACCAAGTCTGTTACGCGACACTTGTCAAGCTAGCACTTGAGGATTGCTGTATAGTCACTGACACTAGTCAGTGACTTGATGCAATTTGCTGGGTTCCTTATATAGGAAACATTATTTCTGATTGGCTTAATGAACTGACCTGAATTGGAATGTTTATTATGTGAAGTGCCTTGAGACGACTCTTGTCGTGATTTGGCGCTATATAAATAAACTTGAATTGAATTGAATTGAATTGTTGCCTAAGCCTCATATCCCAAGGTGGCCGGGGGAAACAGGTTGCAGACCAGAGACTAGCTTCCGGAGGAGGAGCGGGGCCTGATGTCGGGAGCAGGAAGGTGGAGTGACGTACAACGCATACATTGTGCCGTTTAAGGATTTTCAGAATAAAAATCTCAATTAGCAGCTGAAATGGGAAAATGCATGAGTGTAGCCAAAAACAGGTTTGGGGATTATTTTTCATGAGGAAACAACAATATTACATGCTAAAAAGCTCCAAAAAGTAGATTTTCCATGACATGTCCCCTTTAACATATATGCTAATATGAAGAGCAAAAATGTTCATAAAACGTTTCAGTCTGCAGTTGTGATATGGTAAACCGTTTACTGTCATGGTTGTGTGTTTTGTATCCAGATGTCCTTAAGTGTGGTGGCAATGCTGCAGATGCTGCCGTTGCCATAGCGGCAGCTCTGGCAGTAACCGAGCCATGCAGTACTGGGCTTGGTGGTGATGCTTTCTGTTTGTTCTATGATGGAAACACCGGAGAGATCAGAGGGATTAATGGCAGGTGGAGAATCATCTCTTCTATTTGCTTTTCTCCCTCTCCAAAAAGGTTCAAATGAAGGCTCCTGGACTTCTTCGGTTTCCTGAAGACGTTTCGCTTCTCATCCGAGGAGCTTTTTCGGATGAGAAGCGAAACATCTTCAAGGAACCAAAGAAGTCCAGGCGCCATCATTCGAACTCTTGAATTACCATGACCTTGATGACGTAGAAACCTCACCAGCATATTTTTTCCCTCTCGTACAAAGTAGTTATCTGAGCTTGTTCTTTTTGCCCTCAGTGGTCGATCACCTAAAGCTCTGACTCTGGACTTCCTAGAGGGGTGTGGTCACACTGCAGAGTCCCCTCCTTCAGTGTTTGATGCCGTTAACATCACAGTACCAGGAGCTACCGCGTGCTGGTGTGATACGGTGCAGTTATTTGGCAGCCAGAAGGTTTGGCTGTTTGTTCTTTTGATCTAATTCTGTACTACTCTGCTTTAATGCAACAGTCATGTCAGCGTAAAAACGTTAGAAGTAACCATGTTGACATGCAACACAGGTCACACGTTTTCGTTTAAAGGGGATATATTATGCAAATCTCACATTTTGCATGTTGTGTTGGCATTTCGGCCTCTGCTTCCTCTATAAACACTCCAAACGTGAATATAAACCATCAATCCAGTTTTTGTCAGATTTTGGTTTTTGGAATTATTCTTCTACGAGCCATTTAAATATGTCCCCATTGTGACGTCTAAAGAAAGATGAACAAAGAACCCCCACCTGTAGGCACTTATGCCGCTTTCACATCTGGCCTGGCCCGGTCTGGGTCCCACACCGGTAGGGTTTATTCACACACACTTTTCAGGAACGCGGAAATCTCCAACCATGAGGGCGGGGCGAAAGACGTGCGTAAAAGTCTGTTTTGTCTCCCTTATATTAAACAAAAGCGGCTGTAAGCGGTGTTGCTTTTGGAGACCGTGATTCTGATGTTGCATTCAGACTGCTGTCCCTGTGCTTGCGCTGGGCAGGTCAAGCCTCGGCAGCACCGTGTGTGTATGTGCGTGCGCTCCTTTCCTGGCAGCACGTCTCAGTAAATAGATGTTTACTCCACGGTATCCAGAGTGATAATGAATCGCGGCTGCGTCAAGCCCCTGCAGGCTGATTTTACCCTCCAATCGGAGGCTCCCCCTGACGCCGGGGACACACCGGCCGCCGAAGCGCCGCGAAACGGGGACCGCCTTCATTCGGCGCCCTTGTTATCCTATTCTATAGGCCAAATGGGACGCCGAAGCGCCAGCCCATGCCGTGCAGCGATCGTTTCGGCGTCTGCTCTATTTTGTTCGCGAGCCGCGGGTGAACCGTGTCAATTCTGGCAGGAAGTCAAACCTAGACGTAAGAGGCAGGTCGGTAAATTTAACAAAATAAAGCATTTCAAAATACAATTCCGCGATAGTCAAATGTGTTTGTAAACAGACACTGCATAAAAACACACACACACAGACACACACACACACACACACACACACACACAGTGAACTTGCGTGTGTGTGTGTGTGTGTGTGTGTGTGTGTGTGACCACGTGAAGGGGGTGTGGTTTTGGGTGTCTTTCAACCGGAGCAAACAGGACAAAGCAGAAAGTCGTAGGCCAGCTATGGTTCACACCATAGGTTCACACACGCACGGACAAACACACACAAACAGCAAGGGGGGGAGGGGGGGGGGGTGTAGAGGAAAAGAGCAGAGGCAGAGAGCAAATGGAGAACACCAAGTGGTTAAAAGAAAAACTACAGCTGAGCCGAGGCGCGCCTCGAGCGGAGAAACAAGCGTCTGGTCTGAACTGAGGAACAACGAGCAGCGGCCGGATTTCGTGAGCGCTTCGCCTCCTGGCGCTTTGCGGCGCTTCGGCGGCCGGTGTGTCCCCGGCGTAAGGGTAGGCATGAATTTGATCTGGCCAATCAGTCAGCAGCGGGTATGTTGGGACAGTTCAGCCCAAAGCAGACCGCCTTGGCAAGAATGCTGACAAAACAACTGATTGAGCACGGAAAAATACCAGGCTACCCAGATGAGAATACTTTCTACCATACCTGGGCGGGGTAGAGCCAGCCCAGATGTGAACACCGCTTTAGGGAGGCCTCAGCTCTGGACGTGGAGGAGCAGTGGCTCTACTCTGGGTCTCTCCTGGAAATCTGAGCTCGCCACTTCATAGCATTCAATCAGGACTTGGGTGGGCGTGGCCAGCAGCAGCCTGTTAAGTGACAGGACCCTGAAATGGCTCATTCTGGAAGGTACTGAAACTGTGAAGAACAGAGCTGGTGAGAACTCTTTATGTGAGAAATTTTGTTCAAAGAACGTTGTGAAAATCTTTTGTGTAGACCATAGAACCATTCTAACTTGTTTAAAAAGATGAAATATGTCCCCTTTAAAACACTCCCCACATGATAATCCACACATACCTAACTCTGCTGTTCTTACACTCACTTTTCTGCTTTAATCTCAGGAAAACTCTCATAAATAATTGCAAATTGTCTTCACATTATTCTGATCATAACAAAGGCAAACTTTTCCTGCTCACTGATGTTTTCTGTACAAAGCACATGTTTCCTCTTCCTGTTACCTTAGCTGTCCTTGCAAGAGATCCTGAGTGGAGCAGTGGAGCTGGCAGAAGAAGGATTTCCTGTTGCTGAGATAACAGCACACCACTGGGCGAACTGGGCGGCTGCCCTGAAGGGTGATGGGAAGGAGCTGGGTGGGGACTTGCTGATTGACGGTCATGCACCTAAATGTGGACAAGTTTACAAAAACACTGGACTGGCTCAAACCTTGAAGGTAAGGCTTTCATCAAATAGACGACAACAACCCCAAAACATCTTGCATTTGTTCCCTGAACTGCTTTTGTTCAGAGCGGCGCTGAGCCGCAGGGAAACCAGTCTGGGTTCCTTTGGATTTATTTTTGTACCAGTAATTTACTGGTACCTGGTTCATTCCAATTAGGGATGCACCGATACGATACTGGTATCGGTATCGGCACTGATACCGATACCAATACCAGCATCGGTATCGGTAAAACTTAACCGATACCAATGCAGTTGCTTGAAAATGGCTTCACTGTAACTTGTCATTTCTGTTCACCTAATATTTTAGTTTTGTGATGATTTCCATTCATATATTTTACTTTTTATCTACCTCACAGTCGCAGAGAAGAAAATAAACTCTGTATACCAAATCTGCATTTTTGTGTGTGGTAGAAGTATCGGTATTGGTAATCGGTATCGGCGAGTACTCAGATCCAAGTATCGGTATGGTATCGGTTTGGAAAAACGTGGTATCGTTGCATCCCTAATTCCAATAACGGGACCTGAAATGTACTTTTTTAGGTAAAAGTATTTAAATATGTTTTTGTTTATTAAATCAAACAAAATCCCAGCAAACTTTCACTGTAAACAGTAAACTATAATAAAAATATCTTTCTTTTTTAGAACAAAAATAGACACAAAATGTAAATATTTGTTTTAAAAAAGTAAAAAGGTAGTATTTACCTTTCAGTGCAAAACAAAAGTAAAAAATAAAGATAAAGTGCAAACTATGACCCATCGTTTTGTGCAAGAAGTATGTTAAATCTACTTCGAAAACCTGGAATAAAGAATGTTTCGGTCCAAGATGAGTAAACATACAGTAATAATAAGAGATAACACAAGAGTAAACAGCCATTTTTCTTCAGAAAAATGAGCAGCGGACGGGGAAGGTGGTGGACAGGGGTGTTTATTTCTGCATCCTTCAACTCATCATGAAGTTGCTGGTTTTTCCATATTTATCAACATAAATCTTATCCCAGATGTTACTGTAGGAGACGTATAAAGAGGAAGTTTGTGTGATAAGTGTATAAATATATTCGTGTGTTTTGGTGTATGTTTTGTAAATGCTTAGATTATTAGTGGTCATGTGATTTACTTTCATCCGCTGCACCTGTTCAGGTGACATGAGTGAAGGGAGATTGTGAGCGGGTTGTCGCGTTTTTTGTTGACCACCACCTTTTGATTGCTGGGTTAATTATTTGTTTGATTATGTTTAACATTATACTTGGTTAATTTGCTTTACCTTAATAAAGATATGAATTAAACTTAATAAAGTTTAAAATGTTTGAACGAGCGTGTTAAACGGCCTGACCTCAGTCTCTCAAGCGGCTATTTTTTGTTTCCTGAAGCCGCTGTAATAGTTACATGTTGCTCTTTTGCAGTTTACTTTCACAAAATGCAGCCAAACATTTGACGCATTTGGCACAAGTGTTGTAAACAAAGAGAGGGGTTGTGTGTGAGTGAGCGATCCGGAGGACTAGAGCAGTGCAGCCCAATAGGTAGCCTGAGTCACTTCCGCATCACGGGTCCCCGGAAGAACGAAAAAATGAACGCAAGTCAACGGGGCTAAAAGAGCCATTTTCTAATCCACTTTGCCTTAAGCCCTGGATCACACATATGTTGTACTGCAATTTAATTGAAAAGTAATGATGGCTGTTTCGACCACGCCAGTCATGTACTTTGAGGTTGATCAGCTTGTAAAAGTTCGTAATTAGCATGACTACAAACTAGAAATCAGTACGTCACATATGTGACGTCACCGCATAATCTCCTCTCCCCAAAGTAGCTGATACGTACAAAATGACCAGACTTATGGTGGTTCTTTCCGCCTGTGGGATTACTGAACTTACAGCCATTTTCCCTCCGTTTTCTTCGTGTTTGGTTCGATGACGTCACTTTCCTGAAGTGCATTTGTAGTCCTGGACTCATTTTTACACAAAACCTAAAATAGCTTTTACCCCTGTTTGAAAATAAGCGCGTTCTTGGTATCAAAATGTGTCTTTGAAACTCACAAACATCATATATGAAATCCATGGCACAAAACAAGCGGAATTAAAAAATAGCGTTTTAAGCCCCGTTGACTTGCGTTCATTTTGTCGTTCTTCTGGGGACCCATGATGCAGAAGTGACTTAGGCTCCCTATAACAGACATTTTATGGTAAACTACTACAATAAACACAGCGAAAGATTTCTTTTGTCAGTATGAGTACCTTCTGAACGTTTCTGATCGGTACTAAAGAGGTACAGAGTCTCGGTACCCAGAACTACTCTTTTTTTTTTCCTTTATTGTTGTTGAATGCTTTGTAATTCCGACCAGACACGGAGACAGAGGTGAAAGAGAAAGGAAAAGAAAAGGTGGGGAGAGGGGGGGGGGGGGGGGGTCCACAAAAATAAACAATAATGAACAAGAGTCTGCTTCTAGACCTGCAGAAAAAAGACAAAAAAAAAACAAAGGGACACAACAACAATACAACAAGATCTACCTATCACTGCGTCAACTTGATGAAAAGAAATATATATATATATATATATATATATATATATATATATATATATATATATATATATATATATAATCAACATTGCTTAACTGAAGAATCACGATAATAAATCACAACGCATTAAGTGCCCACCATAGTCTTAAGACCTGTGTTTAACGTGCCCAAGCCCATACTTTTGAGAGCACCATGTGAGCACCTGTGTGTGTACACGCACTTGTTTATTTAAGGTTTTTCTATAGGAGCGTCCAACAGAGAGTGTGAGGGACCACAGATCTGCCCCCCAAAGATGCGCAGGAGACGGGGGGAGCTCCGAGTCCCAGAGATCCAGGCGCTACCCCAGAACGCAGGAACCCCAAGGAGACTGCAACCAGGAAGGCCCTCGCCCCCCTCGAGAGGCACAGAGGATCGCCCCGGGGGGCCACAACCTGCAGCCGGCAGAGTCCCCGGAGATATCAGCGGCAAGCCCACAGGCCCGCCCGCAGCCTCCCAGAACTACTCTTGATGCCTTATTTCTAAGACTGAGTCTGGCCACCCTGTGATGGAAATACCTTTCATATTTGTGTTCACAATCTTGCTTTTTTGGACAACACCCAAAGCTCGTGACCAAAGGTGAAGATTGGCAGGAAGACAGACTAGTAAATTGAGAAGTTTGCTGTCTGGGTTAGCTCCTTCTTCACCACAACAGACCAGTATGCCCTTTGATCGCCCGCCCGCTCTTTCCTTCACTTACTCCTTAAAGGGATACTTTGCAACTTTTTCTTATTTTGAAATAATTTTCCTGAGCCAGTATGTGCTAAAGTGGCACGTTACAGGGTTAAAGAAGGGCCACCCAGCCCCTATTGCCCCCTGTGGCCAGAATATTCCACTTGCAACTTCAGACTGGCGGGCCGCTCTGTTGGGACTTAGAAAACATTAAGCTGACATACCTGGTGCTGCAGTCTGCTTCCAGCACTTTTCAGATGATAAACACAGCTAATTTGCTTAAATTAGTGATGAACCACTCCTGTAACGCTAAGGAAGGCTGGTAGACATTCCAGCTGTTAGATTAAGGCAGGGCTATTCAATTGCGGGCCTCAAGGGCCGGTATCTAGCACGTTTTATTTTTAACCCTGCTTCAACACACCTGATTTCAATCAGCAGGTGATTAACAGGCTTCTGCAGAGCCTGATGAGCTGCTGCACAGGTGACTCAACCACTGAATCTAGTGTGTTGGACCAGAGAAACCACTAAAATAGGCTGGATAGAGGCCCGAACTTGAATAGCCCTGGATGAAGGTGTTAAAAAGACGAACGCACAGCGAGATCGGTTTTGCTTTTGGCTCTACAAACAGACACTAGGGGGTGCTAAAAGCAAGCCTAAACTGCCTATTTTCCCTTTAACAAGACATAGACACCTCCTCTAATTCAGTGATGACCTCTCCCCAACCCAGAGATGGCACCCTTTTCTAGTTGAGTACCATTGCTTCAGATTTGGAGGTGCGGATCATCATCCCAGCTGCATGACAATTAGCTGTTAACCTCCCTAGCAAGAACTGGAGGTCACAGTTTGGTGGAGCTAAAAAGGACCACATCATCAGCAAACAGCAGAGTCGAGATCTTCCTGCCATGAAAGCCTGTAACTATGATTGTGAACTTGTATGTGGATGATGCAATCATTTTAGAAGTGGCCTATCAGTGAAGTTTACGGTCGGTGACAGTTCAGTGGAACTATGACTGAGGTCATCTTGAGTCCATGCTAGTGTGTGGAATTGTGTATCACCTCTAAAGTATGCATTGATGTATTCTCCGTGGTTCCAACGCTCGGTTGTTTGGGATTCAATAAACCAGGAAAACGGCTACGAATGCCCAGATCAGCTCTCCATTCATAGACGACACACTTTCTGGGAAAGTAGGAACAATGGAATGACCTCCCGTTTCAATGAGGAGGAAGAGGTGTGTGTGTGTGTGTGTGGGTGGAGAAGGGGGGTGTCATTCCACAGCAATGACGATGTGTCATTTCCTTATTCACACACCTTTTAATTCTTTCGACTGATGAAAATGTTGTAGGAGTAGCTGGTGGTCACCGGATTCCTGCATCACTACATCATTCTAACAACATGGATAAAATGCAAATGCATAAACCTCCAAAGATTTAATATAAACATCAGATTGATTGATTGATTGATTGGCTGACTGTAATATTTGTGCGGATTTCCAGCAGGAGCTTGGTGAGCATGGCAAACCAGCTTTCTACCAGGGCAGAGTGGCCCAAGCCGTAGTTGACGTCATCAACCAGCATGGTGGGGTCATGACCCTGGAGGATCTCAGCAGCCATGACAGTGAGCTGATCACTCCAATAAACACCGAGTACAAGGTAACGGATCTGAAACGGACCTCTGTGTTAACTCCAGGGTGAGCAGATTGCCTGACTTTGTTGCGTGTTCAGGGTGTGCGCCTGTGGGAGCTTCCTCCCAACAGTCAAGGACTTGTTGCCCTGCTCCTCCTCAACATCCTGGAGAACTTTCCTCAGCTCACAGGTAAACCATGTGGACTTTGCTCAGATAAAGCTGATGTGAAATGGTTCACTCTAGACATGAAATGTCTGGAAGCGGTTCGACTGCTGCTTAGCGTAATTTAGCGATGTTTTGAAATCTATTGACGTAGCTTAAAATAAAACTCATCCTAATGTTTAACCACAAACAATCTCATCAGGAGCATTATGGGATTTAGAGTATTGTTCAGGGATAGCAGAGCAGGTAACAGACTGAGGAAGGACCAGGTCTGCTGCACCTTCTGTCCCCTGGAATACATTCACAGAAACAAATCAAGCGTCCGTCTGTTCATTCATCCATCCGGTTGCAGCTAATTTAAAACACCTCTCCTCGCTGCTGCGTTAGGCTCAACCTGGGACAGGTCGATGAAGGTTTTCCTGCATTTCTTCATTCATTTATTTCATTTCACTATCAAGGTCCATGACTTCCATTTAGCTAGACATTCAGAGCTTTATGAAAGTCGTACATGTGAGGTGGTCGATAAGCGAAAAGCATCCATTCAGCAAAGCCTTTCAATCCCAAGCTCACCCTCGCCCTCCTTCCGGCCACCTGGTTTGCACAGGTGAAAGTGCAATGACCATGCACATGAACGGTGCCCCAACCCCTCACCGATTGTGCCAATCAAGTGAGCTCATATCACATCCATCCATCCATCCATCCATCCATCCATCCATCCATCCATCCATCCATTTATCTATTTGCTTCTGCTTATCCAAGGTCCAGTCGTGTGTGTAATAGGTCCAGCACATCCCAGTCTAGACATCCTCCTCTCTCTGGTAAATGGTAAATGGCCTGTATTTGATATAGCGCCTTCTAGAGTCCTGGAACCCCCCAAGGCGCTTTACAACACAGTCATTCACCCATTCACACACACATTCACACACTGGTGGTGATGAGCTACGATGTAGCCACCGCTGCCCTGGGGCGCACTGACAGAGGCGAGGCTGCCGAGCACAGGCGCCACCGGTCCCTCCGACCACCACCAGCAGGCAAGGTGGGTTAAGTGTCTTGCCCAAGGACACAACGACAGCGACAGACTGAGCGGCGCTTGAACCTGCAAACTTCTGATTACGGGACGAGCACTTAACTCCTGTGCCACCGTCGCCCACATGCCAACATGTCCCCAGGCCAGAGAGGATACATGTAATGCCTCCAGTGAGTTCTCGGTCTTCCAGGGTCTTCTCCCAGTGGGACGTGCTTGTTAAACCTCCATAGGGAGGCGACCATGAGACATCCTAATCAGATGCCTGAACCACCTCTGTTGACTCCTTTCGATGTGGAGGAGCAGCATATCCAAGTGGAGCTCTGAAACTGATTTCCCCAGCTACCCTACGAAGGGAGCTTGTGATCCACATCTCAAGGCCAAAGTGTGGAACATAGACAAACCGGCAAATTGAGAGCCTTGCCTTTCGACTCCACCCCCTCTTCAAAGACCAGCGCGGCACGCTCATTACTGAGATGGACGTCTCAACCTCTCGGTAGGTCTCCTGCTGCATTACAACATGACTCGAGCGAGACTGAAAGTTACCGAAACTCCTCCACTTGAGGCAAAAACTCATTGTTGGTTCTTTCGTGGGTCGCTGTCCAGCATCTTTTAGTTGTTTTTCTGCTTCAGCACCTGATGTAAATCAGCAGGTGATTAACAGGCTTCTGCTGTGTTTATGAGCTGCTTAACAGCTGAGTTTTCAGGGATGTTGGAGCAGAGAAGCGACAAAAACGTGCTGACCTAGAGGGAGCGCCCAGCCTTATTTCATACGATCGCTTCATACTCCGCTGCGGATCGTCTCAGCGAGCGCTGAACGTGAAATCTAACGTGAAAAAACGTGAAATACCTTGAGGAGAGATTAAAGATTTTGTGTTGTTGTTGTTTTTGTAGCTGGAGGCCATAACAGCTCTGACTTCATCCATGTTTTTGTTGAGGCTGTGCGTTTGGCACAAACGGATGCGCTGCGTTACCTAGGCGACCCAGCCCATGTGACCATACCTTTGGAAAGCTTACTGGACAAGAGCTACAGTAAGCAACAATCACAGCGCATCAGCATGAACAGGTGTGTGTGTGTGTGTCTGTTGGTACCACTGTGTACCAGTCGCTCTCTGTTGACTTTAGATAGGGCTGTGGACTTTTGCTTCCCCTGACCTTAACTCTCATCTCTTTTTTTTGTCTCTCCCCTTGCATACACAGGGTGTGTGCTTGTCCATGCTGGTCCGCTCTGCACTTTGAACTCTAAGGCTTTATCAGTTAAAAGACAAATAGACCTTCTATACAAATGTAAAACGGCTCTAATCCATTTTCATCAGCACCATCAGACATCACTTCTCTTTTGGAACAGTTGCCTTCACAGCTTCCTCATATTCATCATTAGTTTCTGTGTTTATTGCTCATAATAAACAAGACAAGTGAGAGAAAACAAGAGAAAGCAGGAAATTGCGGATTAGATTTATTACACAGCAATAACCTCCTTAGTGCAAATGAAACAAAAGGCTGCCTGGAAAGTGTTTAAACCAAAAAAAAAAAAACAAAAAAAAAAACGGTTGCTTCGACATAAAACTGTACATATAAAACCTGTTGATTAAAAAAAACCTACATTCCTATTTGTCAAGTCGTGTTTCTGCTTGTGTGAATCGTCCAGGGCCATGGAGCATGTGCAGCCTGGCCTGATGACTGCAGGTGACACCGTTTATTTCTGCGTGATCGACAATCAGGGGAATGCGTGTTCTTTCGTCAACAGCACCTACATGGGCTTTGGAACCGGCTTGGTCCCGAAGGGATGTGGATTCTCTCTTCAGGTCTCACGCTCATAAAAAGGGTTTTGTTTGCATGGTGAACATTTTGTGCCTTTGTTGTTTAACCTTTTAAGGTGGACTCGTTGATCCTGGGAAATGACATTCAAGCAAGCTACATTTTGAATTCCGTGTTTTCCGGAGTATAAGTTGCACTTTTTTCATAGTCTGGCTGGTCCTGCGACTTATATACCAAATTATGTAGGCTATGCCGCGCTGCTGCGGGCCGGCTCCGACCGAGGAATGAGCTCCCCTGTCCCACCATCACCTGCTGGAGACTGCTGCGCGCTGCTGCCGGCTGGCTCCGACCCAGGAATGAGCTCTCCCCACCCGCTGGGAGGGTTTGAAACACCGCCATTCTCTGCTAGAGACCGTGGTGCTCTGCTGCGCCCGCGTTGTTTATTTTGTTATTGTTACCGGTACTTGTCTTGCAATGCGAAACACTTGGTCTCAGATTGTATAAGAAAAATAATAAAATTTCCCCCCAAAACGCGACTTATATATGTTTTTTCTTCTTCATTATACATTTTATGGCTGCTGCGACTTATAGTCCGGAAAATACGGTAAATACAATTTGAAGGTCCAACCCCCTTTTTTCAAGCTCCTCCCTTTAGCCACGCCTCTAGAATTCAGGAGAATGCCGGGTGCAACAGATACCGCCAAACAACCATTAAAACATAACTCTTGCCTTTTTGAACCTGTTGTCGTCATCCTTTCTGCCATAAGGGACTGGTGGAGCTTATCACCATCTACGTGTGAATGTGTGTGAATAGATAGATGACTCACTTTAGTGTAAAACGCTTTGGAGTCCTCTGACTCAGAAAGGTGCTATAAAGGTGCAAGTCATCCATCATTCATTTATGAACAGAAAAGCTGCTGATGTTATTTAATAGCCTGTTTTGCATGCTTACAACACTTTGCATGAGCTAACATGAACAGCATTCTTGTCCATCATGTTTTTTATGATTATGAGGCTGAGGACACATCTCTGTCTGTATGATATTAAAACTAGGGTTGTCACGGTGTGAAAATTTAACCTCACGGTTATTGTGACCAAAATTATCACGGTTTTCGGTATTATCGCTGTATTTTTTTTAAACGTGTTACATTTTTCAGACAACTAAATAAACCCTGTATGTCAGGAAATATTGTCCTCAGTTTGTGTCTAAATTTTGCCTAAACTGTGTTATTTTGTAATTATGTTGTTTATTTAATTACATTTTTACCCTTTAGTCTTTAAAATACCAATATTTGCCCATAACTTCTTATTTCATGTGTGTTTGATGTCATCATTTTAAAATTATTAGATCAGATGATACTCAGTACTCAAGTAGCCTTCTAATCAGATACTTTTTTACCTTTACTTGAGTAATAAACCCTATATCAGGAAAATATTGTCCTCGGTTTGTGTTCTTCCAGTGAGCTTTGCAGATTTGGGAAAATGTCCTAAATTTATAATTATTCTCAGAGAGAGACCAACTCTTATCTGCCCCTGGGAGCCCCGTAAAGCATAGCGTCATTTCAACATGGGGGTGTCCGCTACACGGTTTATATGCAGGTAGCGGGGCTGCGGCTGCTTTATATAGCGACTCGTTGCATTCTCCCTCAACCCAAATCATCGGATCACGCGTTTTTAGCTAAAATGCTAACGTTAGCTTGCCATGCGTTGACTGTAGAGTTGTGGGTGATGGTCATGCAGATGTGTCATGAGATTTGAAGCGTTGCTGCCTTTCACAGACACTTTTTCTGCACGTGCTGCAAACAGGATAGCTGTCTTCTATCAACTGTCCCTCGACATTCTTCAAATATCCAAAAAAATGCCCGTACTTCCCACTTTGTCTTCTTTGAGGGGTAAAAAATGTCCTCCTGAGCGCTACCGTCTCCTCCTTTGGCCATTGTTTCAGCTTTAGCGTCAAGAAAGTTTTGGTTGTAAACAACAAAGTGCGCATGTGCCGCCGGCAACTTCAGCAGATAATACGGTGGCTGGTAAGGGTCACCGCGCCTACACCGCAGCCACGGTAATCCACCGAGATAATATATATATTTTTTAAAAACAAGACGGTTATTATTATTGTCCACTTTTTTACCGGGGTTTACCGCTACACCGGTTACCGTGACAACCCTAATTAAAACATGAGAGAACTGGACCAAACAACATTCTCTTGTACAGATGTTTATTATTATCCCCCCCCCCCCCTCTTTTCCAGAATCGCGGGGCCAATTTCTCTTTGTGCCGTGACCACTTTAATTGTGTTGCTGGAGGGAAGCGGCCATATCACACCATCATTCCTGCACTCCTCACTGACTCTTCAATCAATTCGCAACAAAAACCAAAACTCCTGGCTGCGTTGGGGGTGATGGGGGCCTTTATGCAACCGCAGGGACACATCCAGGTATGCAGCCGTCCGTACTGGCAGAAACACTGAAGTGGTCCGGAACTGGTCCTTTGTGGATCTGGATCTCCGTGTAGTTTTAGAAAACATGCTCTTGTTCCTGTATTCAGGTGTTGCTGAACATGGTGGAGTTTGAGATGAATCCTCAACAGGCTCTGGATGCACCCAGAGTTTTTGTGGAGTACAACCACAAAAGTATGTCATATATAAGATTGGGTTTTACGTTTACTATAAAATCACAAAGTAATTAGTAAAATGCAAGTATTTTTTACTATAAAGGATCTTATCTGTGTATTTTATTACAGCATGTTAGTCAGAGGAGTTATTTTGTCTCATTTATTGTAAATGATGTTTAGGTAAAGGAAACCTGATAACCTGGTTTTATTTGGTAATATTTCTCTGTAGCTGATCGGTGGTTGGTTAACTTGGAGGAGGGGATCGACCAGGAGGTGGCTGTGGAGCTGAGGAGACGAGGCCACCAAGTCAACTGGCCAGTCACAGGTACATTTTTAAATATGTACATATAATGTTTTTAATGGCTGCAGAGTTCTTTTGCTATTGTTTTAAATAGAGAAGTTAAACTGCTAAAGCAGGAAAGATGCAGATATTTTCATAAAAGGTTTTGGGATTTTTGCCTCGACTTTTTATGTTGCTTTGGTCGTGTTTTAAACACACGTTACTTACTTAAAGAGCAAGTCACCCCCAAATCAACTTTTTTTCCCTGATAAACTATATAAATGCGTGTCTAGTCGTGCTGCAGACACGTGTAGTCAACAGTTTAGCACTTTAGTGCATTTTAGTTAAAATAAAAAATTTCTGCCGTTGTCAGGTAAAAACTCTGCACTGCATTTGAATTTAAATCTGCCATCGCTATTGGCTAAGAGGTACCCTAGAACGTTAGCTAGTACCATATGATGTCACAATGTCATTGTGAGCCTGTGTGTGTGTGTATTTGTTAGCGGCTCCGCCCTCTCGGTCTGCTAGGCAACAGCATTTGTTGCATTTTTCAAACAGGAAGTGGGAATTGTGTAAGATTTGGCAGGTGTGACTTGCTCTTTAAAGGTTTAAATGTCACATGGAATGTTTTATTAACGCAGAGCTAATCGGCAGCCATAAACAAACATTACACCTCTAAAACAGCATGTTGTTTAATATTAGTGGCATAAAACCTGTTGCTTCCTCTGTTTGTTGTTCTTCTCTCTCCTGACCATATGAACACGCCGGGCGTGTTAGCAACACCCACTCGGTTCTGATATATAAACCTTTAGTTTGCTGCATCCAAAATTCATGATGTAACAAGTGTAAAAACAGCCTTAATCCATATTGTTCATTAAAGAGTTGGGCTGAAAATAATCTGTTTCGTTTTCTTGATGCAGGCCATGAGAGGTGTCAGTTTGGGCGGGGCCAGATCATCACGGTGGGTGATTGGTGGAATCGTTCTGCCGGGTCTCCGTCCAGGGTGCTGTGGGCTGGATCAGACCCCCGGGCGGACGGGTGTGCTGTGGGATACTAACCAGAGAAATCAACTGTTTTACCTCTAAAGTATAAAGATGAAACACAGATTTGAGCTTTAATTCTGTTGTGATTTTTAGCTTTACACACTTTACGAATTATTATACGAATAGAATTTGGGCATGAAAGATGTCTCCGGGCTCGTTGGATCACAAAAACCCATCTCAGACACCTGTGATGATTAGTTTGTCAGTTAATCCCGACACTACTGAAGAAGGAAGTTTAAACATCATTAAACAGATCTCTTTTTTTCCATTGTCTAGAAATCTAGACAGACAGTAGCAGAAGCAAGGTCGGTAGCTACGCTCCACTGGACCCTCAGCAGGCCCAAACAGTCTTGTGGCTGGCCAATCACAGCGGTCTATCGGTTTGGTGGGCGGGATGTTACTGCAGCTTATTTGCGGCTTAATTTTAACTCCGTCTTGTTCTCAGATGAGAGCCGTACCCCCGTGGATGATACACATGGCCTTGTTCATTGGATGTATTTGTGCAGCCAAAGCCAAATGTATACTTCTCCGTCCGCGTTGGTACGCCTGTCGGCACAAGAGCTCTTTAACTTTTTAACTATCCGTCAAAAATGAGATTGCAAGTTTACGATTGGACAGGATGTCGCTTCCTGTAAAATCGTCAACAGCACCGCCATCGCCACCTCAAAAAATAAAGCTATTTAGCGACAGACATGGAACAGATTGAGGAACGCATTGTAGAAAAAAATCTAAAATATGAACGTTTATTCACCCGTGACTGAAGGAGTACAAAGCGTTTCATTTGTGGATGGCAATGACGAAAAACGTGGGTTTAGAGGTGCTGATGCGAGCAAAGGTGGAGGAGAATGAGAGCCGAATTTGTTTGTGTTAAAAAATCTCTGACATACATTAAAACAATATAAACACAGTAGTAAATCCATTAATTTGGACTGAATCTGTGACTAATGGTGGCAGGATACCCCCAGAGAAGCGCTACGCCCTCTGGTGTCCTGGTGGGGAATTGTTTTGCTGCTTTCTTGCTGTTTAAATTGTGCAGAACATCACAGCTTGTGACTGAAATCAGACTGTTGCAGGAAAACTAGCCTCCTATATGATAGAGTGATCATTTCTCATTCTGCTTAAATCCCTCTCATCAGTAGTTTGTCTGTTATGTGTTTTTCCAACAAGAATTTTTGTTTTTTTTTTAAAGAAGTTGAATTTAAAAACTGTTATAATGTTGTGTTCAACTGTGAACTAAGAAAACCATCTGCCAAAATAACACAAGCTGCTATGTTTTTTTTTCTGTAATTGATTAAAAGAAAACCAATAAAATGATGAAAATTTCTCAATGCTGTTTAAAATGTCAAATTCATGTAAATTTACCTGGAGGTTCTGTTCCTGTAGGAATTAACTGGCCAAGTGATAAAAACGCCAACATGTCCGGATTGTGACTGAGACACAAAGAAATACTCCTCTCAAAATTAATGGTTGCATAGGATTATTAGTACTATTAGACTACTAGACACCCGAGGGAACTGGGCCTTTTCAGGCCTAAAAGCCCTCGGGATCCTCTAGACCAGTGGTTCCCAACCTTTTTCCCAAGGGACCCCTTTTTTACCAGTAAAATTTTTGACGACCCCCTCCCATTCTCTCTTCCAGTATAAACAGTATTAAGAAATGATAAAATTGTTCAAGCACATTTTAATATGCTTTGATTCAATAGGTAACAGTAATAGTAGGCTCCAGTACAGAACAAAGTCATTAACAAAACCAAACAGAGCATAATGTGCTTGACAGTTTGTATTACTTTTCTGAACACATTGTTTCTTGTAAACACGGATAAATCAATCATTCCTTTCAATAAATGTTTGACACATAAAAAATACACTGAGCAAAAATGTACTTAAATGCGTATATTACTGTTTATACTAGATTATTTACTGTAAAGGCTGTGATTTATCAACCAGTCCTATCTTTAATGAACTTTTGACACTTGAAAATAAAACAGTGAGCTGAGCAAAATGTTCTTAAAAGTGTGTTACTCTTTCTGTACTAATTATTTCCTGTCTTAATATCAGTAAACTTTTCACTCATGAAAACAAATGTGAGCAAAATGCAGGCTATAAACAAGTAATAAATGAAGTTTTAACCCCTTAAAGTGGAGAGGTCCTGGCGACCCACTGAGAGGCTTTGGCGCCCCCTTGTGGAGGTCGGGACCCCCAGGTTAGGAACCACTGCTCTAGACGGGGCTGGGTTTCTTCAGATTCAGTTAGTTTTTATTATTTATTTTTGTAAAAATGACCTTGTTAATTCAGAAAAACAGCTTTTTATGCATGCAGCACACTTCAGTAGCAATACACTTTTAAACTGGATGCCAAATTTCAGTCACCAGAATAACTGTTTTTTTTATTTTTTTAAATACTGAATATTTTCAAAGAACTGCTTTCCAAAACTGCCCGTCATCGTGCCTTTGGTCACTATTCATGACCACATGTATCCTTTAGCATCAACTCGATGCAAAATTAGCGGTTTTCTAGTTTTTCTGTTTATCAGAAGCAACCTGCTGCCAAACAGAGCGCATGCAACCAAAACTGCAACAAAGAGATACATTAAACATGCATGTAGGGTTTAACTGACAACACGAGTGAACTGCTCGTCAGCCTCATGCTCACACACACACTCTACGCCAAATCGCCTGATGCTGGACTTTGTTAATCTCCTTACAGCTCCAAATGCACCCTGATACCAGCAGGTTTACCCTCATAAAGGGCCCCGTGTCCAGTCACACATCCTGTTTTACGTAATTTACCAAAATACCAACCAATACGGGTTGTAACACATTTAGATTCAGTTTCAGTCGACTCTGCAGTTTATCTGAATATCTTATTACTTGATTACGTGACAGCTGAGAGCGCTGGCTCCCAACATGTTCACTGTGCTCGTGCCTAGTGTCCCATTGCCCCAGAAGCACCAGCTTCTATTGTGTCACAAAATCTCAGAGCAGCAGTGTTGCATAAAAAGGCACGAACCCAGTTCTTTTTCTCATTTTAACTTCTTGTGCACAGAAATAAAAATTTCCACCGCTTGTAAAAAAGGTTGCTGTCGATAATAACTTTAGATCCAATTACACTTTTCACTTTCAGGTGAAACTCGAAAAGTTTGAATATGGTGCAAAAGTTCATTTGTGTCAATAATTCAACTTAAAAGGTGAAACTAATATATGACACAGACTCATTCCATGCAAAACCTTCAGCCTTTTCAGTCTTTATTTGTTGTAACTGTGATAATGGTGGCTTACAGTTAATGAAAACCCCACATTCAAAATCTCAGGCAGTTAAAATATTGTGAAAAGGTTCAGTATTCTAGACTCAAAGTGTCACACTCTGATCAATGAATCCAGAACACCTGCAAGAGTTCCTGAGCCTGTAGATGGTCTCTCATTCTAATTTTTCCGTTTTGACCTATATTTTTGTTTTGAACAGCTTCTTGCAGAAATTTAAACAATAGAAATCAATAAACTGCTATTCAGTCAATTCAGATTTATAATCATACTGTATATGCTTTTTAATTAATTAAGGGTAATGCTAATTTAGCAACAATGCTCATTAAGTGACTAACTCATTCAGAGGGAAATGACTGAAACACGCTTGTTTGTTATGTGTTTGTTATGTGACTGCGCTTTGCCGCCCCCCTCTTCCTGTGAGTGTTTCCTCATGCACGTTCAGTCATGGGAGACCCCCTTTAACTCCAAACACACACACACGCACACGCACGCACACACACACAGCCAGCAGATTTGAGTCGCTCTTTGTGTTTCCTGTCTCCTCAGCTGCTCCGATCTGTTCCTTCTCTGCCTTCAGCAGCTCACTCTAGGTTGCTCCTCTCCTGCCTGAGGTTGTGATTTTGTTTTCTGGGACAGCCATGTGTTGCTCGGTGGGTTTTGCCCGCTCTCTGGGCCTGGCTTTGCTGCCGCTGGCGCTCTGCTGTGTCCTGGCCAACCTGCTGCTGTTGTTTCCTATGGGAGAAACCACCTACGTCCAGGAGAACCGCCTGGCCAATTACATCTGGTACTTTGGAGGACTCGGAGGTGGAGGGCTGTTGGTGAGTGAAACATTTGGTTAGACTTTCTCTTTTTTTTTTTACCCTGTTTAAAATGAAGTATCTCAAACTTTGAAAGCAAGTAAAATAAAATCCTCAGGCCTGGTTTCAGTGGGATGTTTACTGAGGAGGAGAACTGAAAACGTTGCTTCATCACTTTTGTTTTTTTTTTACAGTGTTCTTCCTGTTTTGTCTAAATGAAGTTTTTAATCATCTTAAAAACCCAACAAACGCCTGCAGTTTTGCCTCTGATCATTAAGATCATTCGTTTGTGCATCTGATGATTTGATTTCCAAGTGCTTAGGAATTACAACGGAATAACCTGTTACGACCTTACTGACAACGTTTTCCTCTGTGCAGAAAGTTTAAAAGCCTCTGGCAAATGGGAGAAGTTAAAAAGTGAGGAGAGAGATTCTCCCAAACAAATAGAAATGAGATTCGCTTCACGTCTGGAACCACATAAAAAACTCACTGAATGAGTTTCTTTGAAAACTCTCAACCATGTGACTCATGAGCCACCTCCCTTCCTGCTCTAGTCCGATCAACACTGCTAGGGATTTGTGAAATGTGACCATCTTTAAATGCACAATGTGCTTTTCTTTTCCATGTAGTCCATTTTCAAGAGTTTCTGATCCAAAACCTGAAGTTATTTGTGTTTAACTTCATCCTCACGTTCAGTCTGAATCTGCATTTATCAGGATGAACAATGGAGCGTTTTGTGAATCTGTTTGTTAATCCGTCGAACAAAACGCTGATCCGGTTTATCTTCTGACCGAGCAGAAAGGAGTTTAAAAGAGTTTATTTTCTTATTTAAAAACAGAAAACTTATCAAGTTTCGACAATAAACCTAAACAGTGTTTAGACTAATTCTGCCTCATTCATGCATAGAAAGTGTTCTCACCGCCACATCAGATTTGTGCAAAATAATCTTTTTAAGGAAGAGAATTAAAAGGAAAAATGGACCCTACAATTATATTAATTTGTACATTTGTACATTTAACTGTAAATAAAAGCAGGATTTCAGTGGAGATTACGCTTGTGTCGTTTTACTAGCTAATGACAGCTATATCGGATCCTGTTGCTCCCAGAGTTTTCAGCAATTAAAGAGTTTTAAAAAAAGAATTTAACTAATCTTTATTTTTTTGTAGATGGAAAACTCCCAAGTCAAAGAGCAAACCGAATCCCACTGAGAGAAAATCTGTTTCCTTTCCTCTTTTTTGTGGTCTACTTCCCCTCTCTGTCATCATCCACTCTTTTAACCTCGGTGTTATGGTGACATCTGGGATGCGTCTGGAGCTAAGCTCAGAATTTTGTAGGTTTTTGTGTGGGTAAACCTTGGGAACTTCCATCCTCTCCCGTCCTTCCTCCCTTTTCCCAATATCATCCGGCCAGCCGCTAAATGGGGCGTTCTTGTTTGTAAATGGGAACGCCCACTCCAAAACGGGAACACCCCCTTCTTCTTATTCGCTCCTGAAAAATTTACTTCACCTCAGATATTTCAAAATAAGATATTTTTACAGTGTTCTTCCTGTTTTGCCTAAATGAAGTTTTTAATCATCTTAAAAACCCAAGCCGATCTGTCGTGGTGAAGAGGGAGCTGAGCCAGAAAGCCAGGCTCTCGATTTACCGGTCAATCTACATCCCAATCCTCACCTATGGTCATGAGCTTTGGGTAATGACCGAAAGAACGAGATCGCGGATACAAGCGGCCGAAATGAGTTTCCTCCATAGGGTGGCCGGGCTCAGCCTTAGAGATAGGGCGAGGAGCTCGGACATTCGGGAAGGACTTGGAGTAGAACCGCTGCTCCTCCAGATCGAAAGGAGCCAGTTGAGGTGGTTTGGGCATCTGGTCAGAATGCCTCCTGGACGCCTCCCTGGGGAGGTGTTTCGGGCATGTCCTGCCAGCAGGAGGCCCCCGGGTCGACCCAGGACACGTTGGAGAGGTTACATCTCCAATCTGGTCCGGGAACGCCTTGGGGTCCTGCCGGAGGAGCTGGTGGAGGTGGCCGGGGAGAGGACGGTCTGGAGCTCCCTAGTTGGGATGCTGCCCCCGCGACCCGGACCCGGATAAGCGGAGGAAGACGACGACGAGATATTTTCTCAGCTCATCTATCTGTTCTCCGTCTTTTTTATACAGTTTTTGATCATCGGTGCTCATCCTGCCCTTTCATTTTGTGTTGCTGGTTTGACATGAGCATGCTCCATGCTCTCCAAACCTGCATTTAAGTCCCGCCTCCTGCGAGAGAGAGAGAGAGAGAGAGAGAGAGAGAGAGAGAGAGAGAGAGAGAGAGAGAGAGAGAGAAGAGAGAGAGAGAGAGAGAGAGAGAGAGAGAGAGAGAGAGAGAGAGAGAGAGGAGAGAGAGAGAGAGAGAGAGAGAGAGGAGAGAGAGAGAGAGAGAGAGAGAGAGAGAGAGAGCGAGAGAGGAGAGAGAGAGACGAGGAGAGAGAGAGAGAGAAGAGAGAGTCAACTGGATGGTACAATAGCTGCTTTCGATCTGAAACATGTTTTTGGTGCAGGTTTTAGACAGATGAAAGAGAACAACTTCATTAGTTTGATCTTTTTCCACAATATATTTATTGCTATACTGTGTCAGAAAGTTAAGAGCCATGAAAAAAATGTTTTCTGTTTTCAAACCCAACGTTTGAAGCTTGTAAGCTCCACTCTCATGCAGCACTAGCTGTCTGTTGCTGTGCGCTGCAGCAGCTCATCTTTCCAGCTGGATGAGTTAATTTCTTCATTATAGAGTCAATATTCTGCTTCATAATCGGAGTCAGTTGTGACCAGACAAAGGTATCAGTCAGCAAAGACCAGACCTGCTGGCAATTGGATGTTTTAATCGCTCCAATGTTCGCCCTCTCTGTGCTGCGCTCATCCCCTCCTCTCGTCCTCTCCCCGACCGGGAACCTCTCGGCGGTTTTCAAACCCTCAAAACTCAGAAACTTTCAACATAAACACACCCATAGGTGCTGCTCAGCTTAAGGTTACACATCTCCACTATCTTCAGGTGTGAAGCAGTAACTTCATGAGGGATTGCATTTGCAGCTTGTGGCTCGTTAAAATCAGTAACGAGGTTTGTCGCAATATTGCGACTTTTGCGCTTAAAGGGTTAAGATAAAGCGACATCTCAATAGTGCCATTGATAATATTTTATCATATATGTACTGTGCCTACCTTTGCTCTCAAAGGTTTAAAATTGCATGATCCTGCTGTTTTTAAAACTGTTTTCCAAATTTGCTGTTGCAGCTTTAAACTGTGAGAATAATTTGGGAGTGCCACAAGGTTTGGTTCTTGTACAGAATCTTTTGTTTGTTTTGTACCTTAATGACCGTTGCCTGGCAGCCTGTTATTCTCTGATGACACACGGTTTGTTACGCCCCCCATTAATTGGGAGCCTCTGAATTAAAACGAAACGCACACACAAAAACTTTTTCATTATTTAAGAAAAAAAATGAAAGAAAATGGGAAAAATTGTATTTTGCTGTTAGCTCAGAAAGAGTCATGAAACAAAAGTATTCCTGTCCTTCCAGATGCTGATTCCCGCTGTGGTCTTCATCACTCTGGGGAAATGCAGCTGTTGCTGGAATGAAAGCTTAATGGTAAGAGACGTTTTAGTCTCTAAACTGTTCCTCAAACTACACAAGAGGAACATTTTGCTCATGCGGTAGAAATCTACAACATCCTGTTCTACTAACTGATTTCAGTCTGTATTTATTATATTCAACTATATGTTTTCACCTCCTGAAGCTTCCAATGGTTTTATTGTGCTTTCCTCTCTGACACACTTACAGAATTATACTGTAATGTTGTCCTTTTAGACAGAATGCTAATGCTAATCCAACTACGATTATTAAACAATGATTTCTTTGTAAATAACACGCAACAAATTAAGCTGGACTCACAGCATTCAAGGCACATGCACAGCTGAGTGTGTGTGTGTGTGTGTGTGTGTGTGTGTGTGTGTGTGTGTGTGTAGCAGCTGTCTATGTGCTTCCAGTATGACTTGGATAAATGGAACAGCTCACAGAAAGTGACTAAAGTACGCAGACGAATGCTGACATGTGTTTTTTCTTCCTCTGTGTGTGTCGGTGCTTCTCCACAGATGTGCGGGTCGGTGCTAGCAGCTGTCATCGGCCTTGTGGGGTCTGGGTATTGTTTTGTTATTTCAGGGCTCACCTTAATGAAGGGTCCCTACTGCTTTACCTCATTAGGGTGGAAGTATCCCTTTGCAGACGAGGGTGGCAGGTGAGGACACACAATATGGTGGTGTTTGCACCTGTAGGCTCACATTTTTACTGTGTATAGGGTGATTTATCTGACTAAATATTAAATATTCAAACACTTGTAGATTTCCTGGGTGAATTTTCTAAAGTGTGTTTAGTGCATAGTAAAAGGCTTTCAGGCTGAGCTTCGCACAGCTCAGCAGGTGGAGCTGGTTCTCCATGTTGAAGAGGTCCAAGTCCAAATCTGAGGAGTTCTCGTTTTACGTTTTTCCTTTTTAAATTAAAACCACAATTTACTTTTAAAGGGTTCAAGAACAATCTTTTCTTATGACTGGAAACTGTTTCAGTGGTCCTCAATATAACATATAAAACACTGTTGGGGCTCAAAATGGCCCAGGAGCACTGATAAACGACTAAACGCAACACCATAAGAAAGCTCTACAATGGAAAGGCTGCTTTTGACATGAATGTTAAATGAGCTGGCTAAAATGAGAAACTCTCTGGATAACTCAAAGGACAAGCGATGGCATTCGTTCAAAGCCGGGACATTCCAAGTACATCATGGAATGTTACGTGTGCTCTACGACATTCTTCTTTGTAGTTTTCCTCTCGTCCCAAAAGCACGTTAGCACTATCTCAGGCTGGCGTTAACAGTAGCTCAAGCTAGTCTTAGCAGTAGCAGTAACATCAGCAATACCTAGATATAGCATATTTCTGCTGTTAGCATTACCGTGACTAGTGTTTTTATATTAGTGAAGTTAAAAGGGTTTGGGACGTGCATACTTAAAGAGCAAGTCAACATATCAACTTTTTTTATGCTGATAAACTATATAAACGAGTCTAATCGTGTAGACATGTGTAGTCAATAATTTGGCACTTTAGTGCATCTTAGTTAAAATATAAAGAGTAACTAAACCCCAGAGTAAAATTGTTTTGCTTATAAACTGTATAATTGAGTCTTTACAAATGCAATCTTTCAGTTTCTGTGCATTTTTTGACATGGTTGTGTAAATTTGATTAAATCTAGAATCTAGGTCTAAAAAATTTCTTAGTGCTGCCCCCTGTGGCAGAACAGCAGCTGCTGCATTTTAAACTTGTGATTGGCTGGGGCTGGAACAATTTCACGTCATCGGTGCAGTCTCCTCCCACACCCCCTCTCTCCCAGGATGGAAATTTCCTGCACTTGGCCATGCCACTCTTTGCCTCCTGGCAACGCCCACTTTCATGGCATTTTTCAAATCTTGACTAGGGGTGGAGTTACATTTTCTGATGGTTTGCAGTCCCTCTTTAAATTTTCTACCAAAAACTGTCAGTGTTGCTTCAGGTCAAAACTCTGCACTGTATTTGAATTTAAATCTGAAATCGCTGTTGGCTAAGAGGTTCCCTATGATGTGAGCTGGTACCATATGATGTCACAATGCCGTTGTGGGTGTTTGTCTATTTGTTAGCGGCTCCGCCCTCTCGGTCTGCCAGGCGATAGCATTTGTCACATTTTTCAAATAGGAAGTGGGAGTGGAGTAAGACTCTGCTAGGGAGTGACTTGCTCTTTAAGGTAGTGTGCCTAAGCTTAAAAGTGTTAAAGCAGCTTTTGTCAGAATGAACAATTTTTCTGTGGCCATTACAAAATTAAACACCCCAAGCTGCCTATTTAAACTAAATAAATGCAGTTTGAGATTCTAGGACTGCTTTAAAATGCTGCCGATAAGTACAATGTTTCTTTTACAGAAACCACAAAACATTTCTTTTGACAGCTTTAGGAAGCTGTATTACTTTCTACTGCAGATTTTTTTGTTTCCACTGGGATCTAAAGACAACAAGAGAACTTTTACTGAAAAAGAAAAACAATTACATTTGCAATAAGTAATTTTTTTTCATACATTTTGGTTTTTAAATTCTTAATGACCTGTATTTATATAGCACCTTCTACAGTGCTGCAACCCCCCAGGGCGCTATACAGTACATTAGTCATTCACTCATTCACACACACACATTCACACATTGGTGGTGATAAATTAAATTGTAGCCGCAGCTGCTCTGGGGCGCACTGATAGAGGACATCATCCTGCAGTGCATCGGTACAGCAGGGTACCAACCTGGTTACTTACTAGCTTAGCATTATTGATTAGTAGGAGTTGCTTACAGTTTGTTTCGTCAAACACAACTGACGATGCTCAAAATTTTCTTAGATTCCAACATTTTATTTAGCTTGAAAAGAGTTTCTTCTTCTAGTTTATTTCAGGTGTGCCTCCAGAAAATTTTGATAGGGGTGGCCAGAAGGGACCAAAGACATTTTTGGGGTGGCACACCAAATTGGTCCTTGTGGTAACTCTGGTTGAATTTAGTCTGTGGCGATGTACTGCATTGCGCCTTTCCAAAACATTTAACTTAAATTTTACAAACAAAAACATTTTAGAAAAATACATGTCAGTTATTTGAAATGTTATCCCAAATTTAATTTAAAAATGTGTTTTTTTAAGTTAATTCACCTGTTGCTGTGTTCACAAAAAATAAAAAAAACAAAAAAATAAAATTATGGATATAAAAACTTTTTTAAAATGGTGAACAGCAGAAACATATGTATTTTTTATTCTGATTATTTCTTTACTCATTAATTGTAATATTTTTATTTTGTTTTACAATTATGTCTTGAATAAACAAGATCAGTATATGGTTTGACTGAACATTAATATGATTTGTTAACACTGCCTTTTCCTGAGGGTGGCCAGCAATTTTCTCGGGGTGGCCATGGCCACCCCTGTCCACCCCTTGGGGGCGCCCTTGATTTATTTTTAATTGGAGCAACAAAAGTGAAACTTGTTTTGAACTCTGCACAAAACGCTGTAAAGACATAAATAATTGGACATAACAAGAATATATTATTTAGCAGCTCTGTATAATTGTAATGATTTTAGACCATGTTTTCCAGTTCATTATAAATTGCTTGAAATGTTCTTGTTTTGAATATTACAGAAAAAATATTCCATCTCCTAGTAGAGTCAAAGCAGAGGTATTTATTCTTGACCTTAGTTATTAGGCAGTAACTCTGGCTAGCTAAATATCACCATCACTTTAACATGAATTACATTTAAAGGCCAACTTTACTGAACAACATTTAATTATTATTTCTGATTATAATTATTCACTCTGAGAGTAGTCTCCTAGACCTATCTCCTGCATTAGCTTCTGATAGAAAACAGACGGTGAAACTCTAGGATTAGAGAAGCCTGACAGATCTATATCACACTGTCACTTAACATTCATGGACTCACCCATCTTGACTCACGGCAGAGAAGGCTTTTGTTGGTTTAGCGTCCAGGAAACAGCAGAGAACATCTTGGCTAGTAGAAGCTACCTGTTAGCATCAGCAGCTCCACCATACAGCAGAACTCCTCCAGGCTTGTGTTATATGTGGAGATAAAATATCAACGTTTCAAAGTAAACCGAGTCAGCGGTAGAGTCACGTTGCTCTTAGCCAATCAGAGGAGAGCTATCAGGAAGAGGACTCCAAATCCTGCTGCCTGAAGCTCAACTCTGATCTGGCTCACTTCTAGTTTCTGAAGCAGGTGCACCAGAGCTTTTTTTCCCCCAGAATATGACTTAGAAGGCATTCCTTGTTACTAGAGACCACTGCTAATGTATTAAAAATATGAGTAAAGTTTATCTTGATGCTTCATTTTAGTTGATATTATTAATCAACCAGAAGTAGAGTTTGTTTTCAACATTTGTTTGTGTTCCAGATATGTGTTGGAGCCAAAAATGTGGTCTCAGTGCCTTCAGCCGCTTCACATTGTCGAGTGGAACGTGACTCTCCTGTGTGTGTTGCTGGGCCTCGCAGTGCTGGAGTTCATCATCTGTCTTCTACAGCTGGGAAATGGTTTAGTCAACGCCATCTGCCGGCCCTGCTGCTACAAGCAGGAGTATAGTCTCAACGCTTAGACACACACACACACACACACACACACACACACACACACACACACGTGTGTCTGTGTTTATAGAGACAGCAGTCATGACACGCATAAATCTTCCTTTTTTCCCAGATTCAGGAATAAAAAAAGCATCTCTGATGTTTCATAACAATGATTTGAAGCGTTCTGGGTGACTCGCTCTCTTTTATATCAAGCTGCTCTCAACAAGCACACCCTGTTTTTGTTTATTAGTTTAAACGAGATTCCTGTTTGTTTCCCATGGGAATTTTTTATGGTTAGGAGACATTCTTGTAGGAAACAACTCAGATTCCCAAGGTTCAACGTTCTTACTCGGCTTTTTTCTGAAATACACTGAAGTGTCCCATCAAGTTTATAATATTTTGTATGTTTGTAAGTATGTTGGTTATAAGAGTATTTTGTTGTAAATGTTTGGAAGCTGGTTCAGGATTATTCGACACTTTATATACATATTTTTAGTGTCTTTTTTTATATTTTATGATTTGTTTGTGCTTTCTTTAATAAAAACGTTATTCCTAATGAAGAGCGTTTGATGATCATTACTAAATAAATGGAGGATACATTTCCATCACTATACTGAAGTTTGACCCCATATATACTACTTCCACAAAACAGGTCAGACAAAGTTTAGTTTAATACTTAAAAATGTTGTGTCAATTTTTTTTATTAAACATTTAAAGTAATTCTATAATTGCTTCTATTTTCCCGTCAGCTTCATCCCTGAACATAATTAACAAACAATGTATGCATATGATAACACTTGTTCAAGCTGGCTTTGCGGGACCTATTTCTTTATCCCCCCTTTGCCAATTTTTTTAAATAATTAAATAAAATCCATTTTTTTTAATAAAATTTTTTGTTTTTGTGTAGTGCCTAGTGATTTTTATCTTGAGAGGCGCTATATAAAGATTGTTTTATTGAGGATACAGGCGGCTGAAATGAGTTTTCTCCAACGGGTGGCTGTTAGTGTGACAGTGTGTCCTGTCACAATGTCCCGATTGATGATGCGCCCTGGCTACTTGGCCAAGCGGATGTCCCTTTGGCTGACTGGTTAGAGCATATGACTCTCACCCGGGAGTCTGGGGATCGAATCCCGCCCGGGCCCTCATTTATCCACCTTGCCACATTAGGGATGCAGTCAAGTTGAAGAAAGAGTCCTATTGGGTTATTTTGGCTTTAGGGACTCCAGAGGCAGCTACAGATGTGTACTGGCAGTCCAAGCAGAATGTGGCTTGGTGTTCGCGGTGGCAAAAACCCGGGCACCAAGGAGCAAGACTTCTGTATGGCTTCAAGGAAATTCTGGACCACCATACTCCAGAAGTAAGGGGTACCAGGCCCTTTGATGCGGGCTGTTAGGTCCGCTTTAATATTTGGGGCTGATTTAGTCATTTCTGACATATTTCATTGTGAAGCATTTTGTGGTTCATATAAAAACACATTTTATTAAATAAGAAAACTTAATCCCTTAAATGATTTGCTAGTTGCAACTTCCAGCCCCCCAGTCCCCATTTCTCCTTCCAGTCAGTAACTCTGGAGAACTGAAAACGAGGGTTAAGGTTTGATCGTAATGCAGGTGTGCATATTTATCTTTCCCGTGTATGTCTTTCTGCTGGACTTTCCACAGTTGCCAGTTATTGATTAGTTTAGCCTCCTGCTGGGAAACCATTATCTCTAACCTTGTTGCTTGGAAGGTTTTACCAGTAATTAAATAAACATTCTATTATTTCACTGGTGACACAAGCATTGCTATAGGACTGAATTATTCATCACCAACCTTTTCAACAATTAAGAAATTATATGTTTATGTTTATGTATTTAGCAGACGCTTTTGTCCAAATGCATTCTTATTAAAGAGTTAAAGAGCTACACACTAACAAATAAAGTTAGGAAACCCATTTAAAAAACAATGTTTTCAAGTTTTTCTAAAAAGTATACCATGTGGTTGCTAATTCTGTTTTATACACCTGTTGTTCCCATCTGAATCAGATTTTATGACATTTAAGGGCACAAAGAATCAGAGTTCATTAGCTGGAAATGATTTTTTTGAAAAAAAAAGGGCATAAGTGATGGATGTTTAGTGGTTAATGTTTGGTTATTGCAGAGTAACAGTCCAGTATTGTGTAAGAGCAACCTGCTGATCAAACAACAAGCAGCCATGCTGCTTTTTCTGTTTACCGCGCTGTCTGGTGGCCAGTGACCCCCGTCCACCTTTGGACAATCTCAGCAGTCCCATATCTGGAGCAGTATAAAGACAAACTGAGTCCAACATTCGGACAGACTCAAGGGTTCTGTCCGTTGATCCAATTCCAACCTTTAAACCTTTGTTTTTCATGATTTCTACTCCGCACTGCACAGCGCTACACTGTAAACATGAACAGTCTGTGGTTAGGAGTTGAGCTGCTGTTGTGTTGTGCAGCCATATGTGTAACCGGGGTGAGAAGGGAATATTTTATCAGGATTGAGGAAGTCTCCTGGAACTATGCTCCAAGTGGGAGGAACGTCATTCAGAATCGCTCCCTGCAGGAGGATGAGTGAGTAAACTCTTAACTAAAATTGACTTTATTTTTCTGTTTTTGTTAAAGCGGTGGGCCTTACCCTGAGTTCACACATTCATACACACTCATGTACTGAAATAAATGCACATAAAATAAAACAGTTTTGAGATGCAAAACTCAGAACTGCAAGGAAAATAAAATGTACCTTAGTACCAGCTGGTCTCATGTTTTCAGTAACAGACTACAGTTTATTACCATCATAAGTGATATAGTTTTGTACCCATGGACGTAATTTTCACTTTAGAAGTGGGGGGACACGGGGGTGGGGGGCGGGGATCTTTACAGTATGCTGTAATGGGAAATCGGCTTCAACACAAATGGTTGTTTTCCGCTTGGTCCTAGAGCTCAACCAGTGTCAATTTAATATAGCATAATATTGTTTTTGGATGGTAAAAAGTGCAGGGGTCAAAACTTGACTTTGGAAAAAGTTGGGGGGGGGCATGTCCCCCCTGTCCCCCCCCCCCCAAATTACGTCCATGTTTGTACCAAAGGCATAGACTTTAATGGAAACTCTGCGCTGTAAACTCTAACAACACATTGCTAGTTACTATTATGCACACAGGTTTGCAAACAAAGTCTTTATTCTTGTTTTGCAGAGAAGCATCAGTCTTTCTAAAAAAAGGTCCCCAGCGAATCGGTCCGACCTACAAGAAGGCTGTTTATAAGCAGTACAGCGACGCCACCTACAGGACAGAAGTGACAAAACCTGAGTGGTTGGGTTATCTCGGACCGTTGCTGATGGCCGAGGAGGGAGACGTAGTGATAATCCTCCTAAGGAACGCAGCATCCAGGCCTTACAGCATCCATGCACATGGACTCAACTACACCAAGGGCAACGAAGGTGAGAAATCAAAACAATAGAGAAAAAACATATTGAATTATTAAAAAAAATACAATAATGCACAACTGTGTTTGTATGTGCCTTCCTGCAGGAGCTCTTTACCCAGACGGCACTGATCAAACACAGAAACGGGATGACTGGGTGGCCCCAGGTTCAACAGTGAAATACGAGTGGACACTTCCAGGATCCAATAGTCCAACATCTGAGGACAGTAACTGTATGACCAGGTTTTACCACTCCCACGTCCGCCCACCAAATGATATCAACTCAGGACTGATAGGACCCCTTCTCATCTGTAAAACAGGTACTCGATCAGCCTTGTTCTGAAAACAAAGGACGGCCTGGATGAGGGAACAAACCTTTACAATGTTCTGCAGGAACGCTGGACGTCCACGGTGACAGGTCTGCAGACTACACATATGCTCTGCTGTTCCTGGTGTCGGACGAGAATCTCAGCTGGTACCTGGATGACAATATCAGAACGTACATCTCAAATCCTGCTAGGAACCTGAAGGAGGATGAAGATTTTATTGAGAGTAACAAGATGCACGGTGAGGGAGGACCACACACACACACACACACACACACACACACACACACACACACACACACACACACACACACACACACACACACACACACACACACACACACACACACACACACACACACAGACTTTAGGTGCTTAGAAACACACAAATTCACTCATTAACTATGTGCTGTAGGAATAAACGGCTTTCTTTATGGTAACCTACCTGGACTGAGCATGTGCCAAGGCAACAAGATCCACTGGCACCTGATTGGATTAGGCAATGAGGTAAAAGTACAACACTATATTATTATTTAAACCCATAATGAAGCATTGTTTGTGTTTTCTTCGCTGTCAGTTGATAGAAAATCAGGTTTAATCATCATGATTCTGTAAATATAAGCCATAGTGCTTGGGTTTCTTAAAAGTGGGTAATCTTGATTATTGTATAAGTTTAAAAAGGGACCTCTAGCTCATAATGAACATTTTTTCCCCCAAATGTACTCTTAATTTCCCCCGTCTGAGGTTAAATGTCACCTGTGTCTGTAGGTGGACATGCATTCAGTTCACTTCCATGGCCAGATCCTGACCAGTCTGAATCACCACACAGACATCATCAGCCTTTTCCCAGCCTCCAGCACTACAGCAGAGATGGTGGCGGATAATCCCGGACACTGGCTGTTGACGTGCGATGTCAATGACCATCTGATGGGTGAACACGCGTGCTCCTGTTTATAAAGGAGGCTAATAACTACTGGCGGCAATAGACGCGTGTTTATGTTCAGGTCTTTTTGTCTCTCTGCAGCTGGAATGCAGGCTTTGTTTGAGATTAAGAAGTGTTTCCCCAATGTTCACAAACCCCGTCCCTATGGCGAGCTCAGACAGTTCTTCATTGCTGCAGTGGAAGAAGTCTGGGATTATTCTCCCACGTTGCCGAGTGACAGGTTTGTTAGATCAGAATCACAGATTCAAACACAGATTATGCTAATCTCTAAGCTATTCTGCTGCTCTCTGCGCAGTGAGGCTGAAGCGTTTGTATCCAGAGGTCCAAAACGCATCGGAAGTCGTTATAAGAAAGTGCGATATGTGGAATACACCGACAACACCTTTGCAACAAAGATGCTGCGTAGCCCAGAGGAGAAACACCTTGGAATTCTGGGTAATTCAAACGTTTGATTTTAGTTTCAATTTTTGTCATGGTAAATGGGCTGCATTTATATAGCACAGAGTCCTAGAAGCCCCCAAGGCACTTTACAAAACAATCAGTCGTTTACCCTTGCACTCTGGTAATAATGAGCTACAGTGTAGCCGCAGCTGCCCTGGGGCACACTGACGGGAGCGAGACTGCCGAACACCAGTGTCACCGGTCTGTCCAACCACCACCAGCAGGTAAGGTGGGTTAAGTGTCTTGCTCAAGGACACAACAGCAGCATTCTCTGGCGGGATCTGGGATCGATCCTACAACCCTCTGATAGATATTTTACATATAGTGCTCAGCATAAATGAGTACACCCCCTTTAAAAAGAACAAATGTAATCAGTAGCTTAACGAACAAAAGAAAAAGTTCCAGCCCACGCATATCCTGGGCCATCTGACCTCAGGAATTCACATGATAGGGTGGGGCCAGGTTTCACAATGAGCTCACCCGAAACTCTGGCTGAAACGTCTTCAAGCAACTCAAAGAAGTCCAGATGCTTTTTTTTCAAAGCTCAATAGACTAAAAAGTTCCGGCGTTTTCCCAAGGCTGGGTTTTAGTGAACTCTTGTTTAACTCCACAACAAGAAATTGAGGTTAATAAAATAACTTGGATCACAAAAACTTCAGTTTTACTAAAATTGGTTGAAGCAAAAATGAAAACACCCCACAACAAAAACTACTACATTGTATTTTGTCTGACCACCGTGATTTTCAAGGACAGCACCACGTCTTCTAGGCATGGAATGAACAAGATGGCGACATGTTGCGACATCTATCTTTTTCCATTCTTCAAGAAGAAGCTCTTTAAGAGCCGGATGCTGGATGGAGAGTGATGCTCAACTTGCTGCATCAGAATTCCCCACAGGTGTTGGATTGGGTTCAGATCAGAAGACGTACATAATCACCCCCTGTTCTTCTTCAGAAACGCAACAGTAGCTTCAGATGTGTGTTTTGTGTCATTGTCGTGTTGGAAAAGTGCACGACGACCAAGTGCACGGAGTGATGGCAGCATCTTCTCCTTCAGTGTAGAGCAGAACATTGTTGAGTTCATGATGCCTTCAATGAAATGCAGCTCCCCAACACCAGCAGCACTCATGCAGCCCACATAAGGACACCGCCACCACCGTGCTTCACTGTAGGCTCCATGCATTTCTCTTTGAACTCCTCACCTTTACAATGCTACACAGTTTTGAAACCACTAGTTCCAAAAACAGAGATCTTTGTCTCATCACTCCAGAGTCCCAGTAGTCTTCATCTCTTCAGCATGGGCCCTGGATAATCCTAGGTGTGCTTCCTTTGTGGACGATACCGATGTATGCCATTCCTGTGCAGTGTGAACTGTATGGTGTCACGGGAAACGGTCACTCCACTTTGGCTTTCTACTGCTTTAGCTAACTGCAGTGAACTTGCATGGTGATTTTCTTCAACCCATCTCACCAGAAGACGCTCCTGTCCAGATGTTTACTTCCGTGGACGGCCTGGACATCTCTGTAAGATGGTTGCGCTTCCATCTTTCTTAAACGTTTGGCTCACCGCTGCTACAGTATTTTGACTGATGTGTAAAGCTTTGCTGATTTTGTAACCATCACCTTTTTTGTGTAAAGAAAGTATTTCCTCTCTCTGATTTTTTGGCATTTGTCTTCCACGTTGAGCCGTTGCTGACAGCATGAAATGGGAAGGGCGTTTCTTCTTCTTCTTCTTCTTAGAGTTTTACGGCGGCCGGCAACCAACTGAAAGGTGCATCACTGCCCCTACTGTTCCGGAGTGTGGATCAGAGTTTACAGTCTATCTTTCAGACCTGAATCTTTAAGGAATCCCCAGGGAAGGGCGTTTCTTTAAGTAATGCCCTTTTATAGTCACCTGTCTGCTGGACACCTCCTAAACGAATCATCGGACTCACCTGTGGTTACACGCCTGCTAATTTGAATTTTGTAATCTTATGTGTGGCTTTTCTCCTAAGACTATAATTGGGGTGTACTCTTTTTTGCAACATGGGCTTGAATGGATTTGTTAGAAAAATCACTTTTTTTTGTGTGAAAATTAACTAATCTTGTTTGCAATTAATGGCCGACATTTGTGTGAGTATTTGATAGAATGGTATCTCATAGAAAATGTTGCTTCTGAAAGGAAACTAAAGGTTTTCTGACAAATATCATGGGGTATATTCATTACTGCTGAGCACTGTATAGATTTAGAGGTAGGGTAGATATGATATAATTAAAGCTAGAGAGTGGAGGTTTATATGTTCAACATTTGCTACTTTATCTGAGTGGTAGGTTGTCAAGTTACTCTAAAATGTTTTAACTTTTAACAGATTACATTGTGTCTGTGAGTAAAGGTAAACCATATTTAGAGTCCAACAGATACGTAAAACAAAAACATTGGATTTGCCTCAAAACTGAAGAACAGGAACAGTTTAATTCACCAATTTCTATAATGTTTCTTAGTTTAGAAGAAAGGATTAAAAGCAGCCAATAAATTCACACAGAGTGTTTTAGTAGTTTGTTGAAAACTAAAAGAATCCCCACAAGCCCAGAGTACAATAACATTTAACTCATTTAACTAGAGTGATGAATTTCGTCTCGAGGAGAGACTGGATTTGATATACAAACACTTTCAAACATTTTCATGTTCAGATTTGTACTATTTTAGGTTTATTTTGAAGAGTAGACATAGAAAAAAGGCCATGACAATTCATTTTCATGTTTTTAAATATTGTTTTAATTAAACTTTTCTTTGTCCAGGAAAATAATCCATTGAGATTAGAAAATATCTTTTAAAAGGATGTTCTGAAAAAACAAATCACTTTCGTGGCCCGCAAAGACCATTAAGTTGATGATTGAGGTCCTGTTTTAGTGCCTAATTGTAATCCAATAATTCTGTGTGTGTGTGTGTGTGTGTGTGTGTGTGTGTGTGTGTGTGTGTGTGTGTGTGTGTGTGTCTTCAGGCCCGGTGGTGCGAGCCGAGGAGAAGGACACCATCAGGGTGGTGTTTAAGAACCTTGCCAGCCGGCCCTACTCCATTCAGCCACATGGAGTCCAGTACACTATAGAACAGGATGGGACTCTTTACTATAATGAACTGGAAGGTAAAATATTATTCATCTATCTAATATTTTGGTTTCTTTCTGTTATTTTCCTCCTCCTTCTGAAGTTTGAGTTTTCCTTTTCTATCAGAATCGCACACAGCAAAGAAAATACGAGAGCTGAAGAAGGAGACAAGTGAGCTGAAATAGTTTTTCCCCTTACAGAGTTTGTCTCTGTGTTTGTAAATAATAATAATAATGGTTTTAATTCTCGCTGTAATAATTGTAGGAGTGGTGACTCCTCCCCCAGCTGCTCTGGTCAGACCTGGAGCTGTGTATACCTACGAGTGGTCGGTACCAGTGGGTGCCGGTCCGGTCCAAGGGGAGCCTGACTGTCTCAGCTATCTCTACTACTCTGGGGTGGACCCTGTGAAGGACACAAACTCTGGGCTGGTTGGACCTCTCCTCGTTTGTCGACCTGGATCTTTAAAAAAAGGATTTCAGGTGAAAGAGGAAGAAAAACCCAACACAAATCTACTTTTTACTAAGACAAGTTTTGGCAAGTCGGGTCCAAATTGATATTTTCTGTCATGAATGCATTTTTTTCCTTAAGTTCCTTAAGGCTCTGGACGTTGTGGGGCTGTGTTGGCTGACTCGGCTCTGCAATATCGCGTGGACATCGGGGGCAGTCCCACTGGACTGGCAGATCGGGGTGGTGGTCCCCCATTCAAAAGGGGGGACCGCAGGGTGTGCTCCAAATACAGGGGGATCACACTCCTGAGCCTTCCTGCTACAGTCTATTAGGGGTTCTGGAGAGGAGGGCCCGCCGGATTGTCGAACCTCAGATTCAGGAGGAGCAATGTGGTTTTCATCCTGGCCGTGGAACACTGGACCAGCTCTATACCCTTAGGGGGATCCTGGAGGGTGCGTGGGAATTTGCCCAACCAGTCTACATGTGTTTTGTGGATCTGGAGAAGGCATTCGACCGCGTCCCTCGGGGGGCCCTGTGGGGGGCTCTGTGGGGGGCTCTGTGGGGGGTACTCTGGGAGTATGGGGCACCAGGCCCTCTGATAAGGGCTATTAGGTCCCTGTATGACCGGTGTCAGAGCTTGGTCCGCATTGCTGACAGTAAGTCAGGCTCGTTCCCAGTGAGAATTGGACTCCGCCAAGGCTGCCCTTTGTCACTGATTCTGTTCATAACCTTTATGGACAGGATTTCTAGGTGCAGCCAAGGTGTGGAGGGCATCCATTTTGGTGGCCTGAGGATCAGGTCTCTGCTTTTTGCAGATGATGTGGTCCTGTTGGCATCATCAGAACATGATCTTCAGCTTTCACTGGAGCGGTTCGCAGCCGAGTGTGAAGCAGCTGGGATGAGAATCAGCTCCTCTAAATCTGAGACCACGGTCTTGATTCGGAAAAGGGTAGAATGCCTTCTCCGGGTCAGGGATGAGGTCCGGTCCCAAGTGGAGGAGTTTAAGTATCTCGAGGTCTTGTTCACAAGTGAGGGAAAACTGGAGCGTGAGATCGATAGGCGGATTGGTGCTGCGTCTGCAGTGATGTGGGCATTGTACCGGTCTGTCGTGGTGAAGAAAGAGCTGAGTCAGAAGTCGAAGCTCTTGATTTACCGGTCGATCTACGTTCCTACCCTCACCTATGGTCATGAGCTTTTGGTAGTGACCGAAAGAACGAGATCGCGGATACAAGCGGCCAAAATGAGTTTTCTCCAAAGAGTGGCTGGACTCTCCCTTAGAGATAGGGTGAGAAGCTCAGTTATTCGGGAGGGGCTCGGAGTAGACCCGCTGCATCGAGAGGAACCAGTTGAGGTGGCTCGAGCATCTGGTCAGGATGCCTCCCTGGTGAGGTGTTCCAGGCACGTCCAACCGGGAGGAGGCCTAAAGGGAGACCAAGGACACATTGGAGGGACTATGTCTCTCACCTGGCCAGGGAACGCCTTGGAATTCCCCCGGAGGAGCTGGCCCAAGTAGCTGGGGAGAGGGAAGTCTGAGCCTCGCGACTTACTTTGCTGCCTCCGCGACCCGACTCCGAATAAGTGGGTGAAAATGGATGGATGGATGGATGGATGGATGGATGGATGGAAGGATGTTTTTTTTTCACATTAACCATGTTCTGATTCAAACTTGAATTTGTGAAGTTGTCCCCATCCTGTCGAGTGGGATCCACTTTTTGCTTCGTGCCATCGGGGCTCTATATTTTACCTGAGATCAGTCATCAATAAAATCTCAATCTGACATTCTATTCTTTTCATTTTTTAAACCTCATACAGAGAAACTATAATAAAGAGCTTCACCTCATGGCTACGGTGTTTGATGAGAATCTCAGCTGGTATCTTGATGAGAACATCTTGACTTTTGCTACTGCTCCCAACACAGTCAACAAAGAGGACGAAGACTTCATGGACAGCAACAAAATGCACGGTCTGTACAAAGGATCTTTTAAAAAAATATATTTTTACAGTGAATGTGTTTAAAATAAACCCTGTATTTTTATTGTTCTGGTTCTCTTTCAGCTATCAACGGGTATGTGTACAGGAACCTTCCTGGTCTGTACATGTGTAAGGGGGATAAAGTCTCATGGCACCTGTCGGCTCTGGGCACAGAGACGGACATCATCAGTCTTTACTTCCAGGGCAACCGGTTCCTCTACCGCCAGAACAGAAGAGACACCATCAACGTTTTTCCTCACATCTCCCACACTGTTACGATGGAACCGGACAGCATGGGTGTGTCTATTTCCTAAAAACTCCTTCACACAAAGAGCTCCAGATTTTCTGTACAGCTGCACCACTGTGCAGGTGGTGTGCAAAGAATGCCTGGATGCTTGATTTCAATTGCAACAAACTCCCCATTTATGCAAAGCTTAATATAAAACTTGTTTAGTTAACATGATCTATAACTACTTCCATTAATCAATGAATATATTTGCTTTTATAGCAGAAAATTTGCATGACAGTAGAAGGATACCATGTACAATACCATACCATTTATTTATAAAGCGCATTTAATTCACAGCATGTCAGCTGACCAAAGTGCTATACAAGTACAAGGATTAAAAACAGTGAATGAAACACAACAAGAGTAACAATAAAACACGACACAATAAAACTAGAAAACATCAACAATGGGAGAAGGCCATGTCAGAAAAGTATGTCTTTAAAGCTGATTTAAGATGAGAGAGGGAGGGAGCCTGCCTGACTGAGAGGGGGAGTGCGTTCCATAGAGTGGGGACAGCAGACATAAAAGCCTGCTCACCTTGCGATTTTTATCTCATTGATGGTATACAGAGCAACAGATGGTCAGCTGACCTCAGAGCCCGGTTTGGCATGTAGGAATTAATCAAATCAGAAAGATACTCTGAGGCGGAGCCATTCAGAATCTTAAAAACAAAGGTCAGGATCTTGAACTTGACACGTAAATTTACTGGTAACCAGTGCAGAAGTTCCAGAATGGGAGTGATGTGAGTATGCCTGTTAGTGTTAGTCAAGAACCTTGCTGTAGCATTCGGAACCACCTGTAGTCGATTTAAAGCCAAAGCTGGGACACCAAAGAGGATAGAGTTGGCATAATCCAAGCGGGAAGTAATTAAAGCGTGAATGACAAATTCCAAGTGTGGTCACTTCAAGTTCGATTTTAGACAAACTAAACGGCGCACCTGGAAGAAACAAGACTTAATCACAGTATTGATCTGAGGAACTATCGTGAGACCTGCAACAAGTTTAACCCAAAGATTAGTGACACTGTTTAGGGCTGAATGTGAAAACATAAGGGACAGAAGAAGAGTGAGGATGATTACAGGGGTCCATGAGAATGACTTCTGTCTTCAGTTCATTTAGCTTCAAAATATTGTCCGCCAGCCAACCCCTCACCTCAGCTAAGCATTTGTCAAGGAGTGAAAGGGCATTCGAGTCATTCATGGTCAGGTAGATCTGATAATCATCTGCATAAATATAGTAACCAATGCCATATTTCTCCAGGATTTAGCCCAAGGAAATGATATAGATTGAAAAGAGAAGACGCCCAAAAACAGAACCTTGCGGTACTCCCCAAGGGAGTGGGGGACACAGAAATGAGCAATCATTGATCTGGATCCTGAAAGTTCTGTCAGACATGTTTATGATTATGTTTATGTATTTAGCAGACGCTTATGTCCAAAGCAACTTACAAGTGATAATCGGCATGTTGCCCTTGAGGCTAACAACAAAAACAACAACAACTACTTGACATCAATCATGGAGAGGAGGGAACAAGGAGTGGACAGTAGAGAGGGGGACGGGTGTAGGGAGGGTGCTAGTTTAGAAGATGCTCTCTGAAGAGCAGGGCCTTCAGGAGTTTCTTGAAAATTGAAAAGGAAGCTCCTGTTCTGGTAGTGCTTGGTAGGTCATTCCACATTTGTGGAACGATGCATGAGAAGAGTCTGGATTGTCCTGAGTGTGGTGTAGGCATTGCTAGTCGACGATCCTCGGATGACCGGAGCGGCCGGGCCGAGACGTAAGCCTTTGCAAGAGGATTCAGGTAGATGGGAGCCGTACCATCTCGGACTTTGTATGCTAGTGTTAGCAATTTGAATTTGATGCGTAAGATAAGTAAGAGCGGAACCAATCCAAAGCAGTGCCACTGATACCTACCCATAACTCTAGCCTATCCAACAAATAGAATGGTCACAGTGTCAAAGGCAGAGGAAAGGTCTAATAAAAGTAGCAGAACAACAGACCCAGAATCAGAAGCCACCAGGATATCAATCATTACACGCAACAGAGCAGATTCAGTGCTGTGGAGCAGCCTAAAGCTGGACTGAAACATTGATTGTCTCTCGTCTCGTCTTCCTCCGCTTATCCGGGTCCGGGTCGCGGGGGCAGCATCCCAACTAGGGAGCTCCAGGCCGTCCTCTCCCCGGCCACCTCCACCAGCTCCTCCGGCAGGACCCCAAGGCGTTCCCGGACCAGATTGGAGATGTAACCTCTCCAACGTGTCCTGGGTCGACCCGGGGGCCTTCTGCCGGCAGGACATGCCCGAAACACCTCCCCGGGGAGGCGTCCAGGAGGCATCCTGACCAGATGCCCAAACCACCTCAACTGGCTCCTTTCGATCCGGAGGAGCAGCGGTTCTACTCCGAGTCCCTCCCGAATGTCCGAGCTCCTCACCCTATCTCTAAGGCTGAGCCCGGCCACCCTACGGAGGAAACTCATTTCGGCCGCTTGTATCCGCGATCTCGTTCTTTCGGTCATTACCCAAAGCTCATGACCATAGGTGAGGATTGGGACGTAGATCGACCGGTAAATCGAGAGCCTGGCTTTCTGGCTCAGCTCCCGCTTCCCCACGACAGATCGGCTCAGCGTCCGCATCACTGCAGACGCCGAACCAATCCGCCTGTCGATCTCCCGATCCCTCCTACCCTCACTCGTGAACAAGACCCCGAGATACTTAAACTCCTCCACTTGAGGTAGGACCTCTCCCCCGACCCGGAGGTGGCAAGCCACCCTTTTCCGGTCGAGAACCATGGTCTCAGATTTGGAGGTGCTGATCCTCATCCCAGCCGCTTCACATTTGGCCGCAAACCTACCCAGCAAGAGCTGAAGGTCAGAGCTGGATGAAGCTAGGAGGACCACATCATCCGCAAAAAGCAGAGACGAGATTCTCCTGCCACCAAACTCGACACACTCCACACCACGGCTGCGTCTAGAAATTCTGTCCATAAAAGTGATGAACAGAACCGGTGACAAAGGGCAGCCCTGGCGGAGTCCAACCCTCACTGGGAACAGGTCCGACTTACTACCGGCTATGCGGACCAAACTCACGCTCCTCTGGTAAAGGGACTGAATGGCCCTTAACAGAAAGCCACCCACCCCATACTCCTGGAGCGTCCCCCACAGGGTGCCCCTGGGGACACGGTCATAAGCCTTCTCCAAATCCACAAAGCACATGTGGATTGGTTGGGCAAACTCCCATGCCCCCTCCATCACCCTTGCAAGGGTATAGAGCTGGTCCACAGTTCCACGGCCAGGACGAAAACCACATTGCTCCTCCTCTATCTGAGATTCAACTATCGCTCGGACCCTCCTCTCCAGTACCTTGGAGTAGACCTTTCCAGGGAGGCTGAGGAGTGTGATCCCCCTATAGTTGGAACACACCCTCAGGTCACCCTTCTTAAAGATGGGGACCACCACCCCGGTCTGCCACTCCCTAGGAACTGCCCCCGATGACCACGCAATGTTGTAGAGACGTGTCAACCATGACAGCCCTACAACATCCATAGCCTTGAGATACCCAGGACGAACCTCATCCGCCCCCGGGGCTCCGCCGCTGTGTAGTTGTTTGACTACCTCAGCACCTTCTGCCCCCGAGATCGGACAGTCCATCCCCAGGCCTCCCAGCTCTGGTTCCTCCTCGGAATGCGCATTGGTGGGATTGAGGAGCTCCTCAAAGTATTCCTTCCACCGTCCGACTATAGCCTCAGTTGACGTCAGCAGCTCCCCATCCCCACTGTAAACAGTGTGAGCGAGTTGCTGCCTTCCTCTCCTGAGGCGCCGGACAGTTTGCCAGAACCTCTTTGGAGCCGATCGATAGTCTTTCTCCATGGCCTCACCAAACTCCTCCCACGCCCGAGATTTTGCCTCGGCAACTGCCACTGCTGCACCCCGCTTGGCTATCCGGTACCTGTCTGCTGCCTCCGGAGACCCACAGACCAGCCACGCCCTGTAGGCCTCCTTCTTCAGCCTGACGGCTCCCCGAACCTCTGGTGTCCACCAGCGGGTACGGGGGTTGCCACCACGACTGGCACCGGCCACCTTACGACCACAGCTAGCAACAGCCGCCTCGACAATCGCAGAGTGGAACAAGGCCCACTCGGACTCAATGTCCCCCACTGCTCTCGGGACGTGGTCAAAGCTCTGCCGGAGGTGGGAGTTGAAGACCGTCTTGAAAGGTTCTTCTGCCAGGCGTTCCCAGCAGACCCTCACTATGCGTTTGGGTCTGCCAGGTCTACGCGGCATGTTCCCTTGCCATCTGATCCAACTCACCACCAGGTGGTGATCAGTTGACAGCTCCGCCCCTCTCTTCACTCGGGTGTCCAAAACATACGGCCGCAGGTCAGATGATACGACTACAAAATCTATCATCGACCTGTGACCTAGGCTGCCCTGGTACCAAGTGTACTGGTGGGCATCCTTATGTTCGAACATGGTGTTCGTTATGGCCAAACTGCGGCTTGCACAGAAGTCCAATAACAAAACACCGCTCGAGTTCTGATCAGGTGGGCCGTTCCTCCCAATCACACCCCTCCAGGTCAAGCTGTCATTGCCCACGTGAGCATTGAAGTCCCCCAGCAGGACAATGGAGTCCCCTGATGGAGCACTATCTAGAACTCGTCCCAGGGACTCCAAAAAGGGTGGGTACTCTGAACTGATATTTGGCCCATAAGCACAAACAACAGTCAGGACCCGTTCCCTGACCCGAAGGCGCAAGGAAGCTACCCTCTTGTCCCCCGGGGTAAACCCCAACACACAGGCAGAGAGTCTCGGGGCTAACAAAAAGCCAACCCCAGCCCTCCGCCTCTCACCCGGAGCAACTCCAGCAAAGTAGAGTGACCAACCCCTCTCCAGGTCTCGGGTTCCAGAGCCAATGCAATGTGTCGAGATGAGTCCGACTATATCTAGCCGGTACCGCTCAACCTCTGCCACAAGCTCCGGCTCCTTCCCCGCCAGCGAGGTGACGTTCCATGTCCCAAAAACTAGTTTTCTTGTCCGGGGATTGGACCGCCAAGGCTCCCGCCTTGGTCTGCCACCCGATTCACATTGCACCGGACCCTTCATGTTCCTCCTGCGGGTGGTGGGTCCACAGTTGGACGAGCCCATGTATCCGGTTCGGGCTGGGCCCGGCCGGGCCCCATGGGCGAAAGCCCGGCCACCAGGCGCTCGCTCACGGGCCCCAACCCCAGGCCTGGCTCCAGGGTGGGACCCCGGTAACCCTCCGGGCCGGGTACTCCGACTCTTCGTTTTAACCGCCATGAAAGATCCTTCATTGATCTGGATCCTGAAAGTTCTGTCATTGATTGTTACTTTTTAAATATGATTGGTCACTCAGAGTTTAAAATGCAGGCTAAATGTGAACATAGTCTTCTACCCCAATTTCCTGCATTAGCCACCTGTAGAAAACAGAAAGAGAAACTCAGATAAAAAAAAGCCAGCATGTCAAATTAACATGCACTGACTCACCCATCTTGGTTTGTGAGGGCAAGGCTGTTGTTGGTTTATCCTCCAGGAGAGAGCAGAACATTTTGCTGCTAGTCGAAGCTAACCGTTAGCATTAGCAACTCCACAACATGGCAGAACTCCTGTAAGCTTGTGTAATTTGTGAAGATAAAGCATCAACGTTGCAAACCAAGCTGAGTCGATGACAGAATTGGGTTTTATGTTCGCCAATCAGAGGTGAGATGTCTGAACATCAGGAAATAAAACTCGAAATCCTCCAGGTTCTGCTCAACTCTGCTCTGGCTAACTTCCACCTCCTGAAACAGGAGCGCCAGAGCTTTTTTCCCCCTCAGAGATCGACTCAGAAGGTATTCATTCATATAAGGGACCACTGAAAATGTATTGTAAACAACGAGTGAACTTGCTAAAGCACAGTAACAGAGTCCTTGCACTTTGTTACCTTCATCACTGCTGATTTCTGTTCATTTTAACGTTAAATAATGAACTCTAGTACCGCTTTTGTGTGTTTCAGGTCAATTTGAAGTGGTTTCTGCTACAGTGGACCATTACCGAGGTGGGATGCGAGCCAACTACACTGTAGAAAAGTGTGGCCTTTTTCAGCGACAGGGTGAGGTGATGCTCCATTCAAAGACTTTCTACATTGCTGCCATGGAAATAGACTGGGACTATTCTCCTAATCGCACCTGGGAGGCAGAGATGTTCAGAAACATTGGACAGAAGTAAATAAAACTACTGTGTCTTTGTTAGTCATTGTAAGAAATAAATATATTACAAATAATGACATTAATTTAGTACTCTGCTACCATAACAGCCAACAAAGGTAACGCAATGTGTAATTTTGATATTGTCCTGAATAAAAATGACATTTGCTTAAAAATCTTTTTTCTTACTTTAGAAAAATTGGTAAACAAAAATAATAACCCTAAATTGTTTTAATTTCAGTCCTGCTGGCACCTTTTTGGACAAGCGAGATGGATTTATAGGCTCTCAGTACAAGAAGGTTGTTTACCGAGAGTTCACCAACAACAAATTTACCACACAGGTTGAAAGAACACCTGACATGGAACACCTGGGCGTTATGGGTAAGCTTCCAGTTTGGATGCGCAGATAATACATCTGGGTTTGTTATTGTGATGGTCTTAGATGTATATGTTGTTGTTGAACTTTTGTAAACCCATTTCTTGCCCCCACAGGTCCAATGATTCATGCTGAGGTGGGAGACAAAGTTAAGGTGGTTTTTAAGAATATGGCGTCCAGACCTTATTCCATCCACGCCCACGGAGTAAAAACAGAAACTCCTGATGTCCACCAGACGCAACCTGGTACAGAAAGGCCTGAATTCATTTTAGGAAAAAGAAATAGAATCAGCGTCATTCACTAAATATGTTAAGAAAATCTGTATTTTCATGATACTAGCTCAAAATTCACGAGCAGTCACTTTATGCCTGGCTTTTAATCTTGGGCTTGATAAAAAAAAAGAGAGAAATTTTAATATTGCAAAATTTTCCTGAACAATTTGTTTATTTCTGGTTCCTGTCACAGGTGAAACTCATACATACACCTGGTACGTCAACAAGAACACAGGCCCGACCGCAGAGCAGGAGGAGTGCTCTGTTTCAGCGTATTACTCCACAGTAGATATCGTAAAGGTGAGCTAATGAACACAGGATCAACCACATAACCTGTCATGTTTTTAACACACCCCCATGTTGTTCCTACACTTCCAGGACCTTTACAGCGGGCTGACCGGTCCTTTAGTGATCTGCCGTCGTAGCTGGGCCAGGTTAGAGCTCCCGCTCTTGTGATTTTCAGAAAATTAAAGTTTATTTTAACAAACGGTAAAACAACTTCAGCAAACCAAAACTGTGTTTGCAGGAGATTAGGACTAAAGAAGGAAGTAGAAGAGTTTGCACTGCTTTTCCTGGTTTATGATGAGAATGAAAGCTGGTAGGCCTCACGCAGTAGTTTTTTAATTTTTTTTCTGCACCTTTACTACAAAACAAACAAGATACAAAGACTTTTGTATTGCAGGTATTTTGATGAGAACATCAGGAGGAACATCAGGAACCCTCCGCCAAACTTAAAGGATGATGAAGAATTTATTGAGAGCAATAAAATGCACGGTGAGAGCAGAATAAACACAATGTTCTGTTTTTACTGCGCGTGGAAATTTAATGTGTCAATTACAGTTAAATAGAAAAAAATATGTAAAAAATGTACCCCTTGAGTCAGAGCCCCCCCCCCCCCCAATGTGGGTGGGGGTCTAGCAATAAAATCTAAGAAAAAAAGAAACGATCTTTTCTATAGCACCTCTCAAGATAAAAATCACGAGGCGCTTCACAAAAACAAAAAATTGAAGGTATAAAAAATTTTGGACAAAGAATGAAAAAATATGTTTAAAATGACATAAAAAATAATTGTGATTTAAAAAAATGTAAGGAAAGGGAGTGAGAAAATGAATAGGGAAGAGGGAAATCAGTGGATCCCGGTAAAGGCGGAATGGGTAGAAAAAGCACAATAAGGAGAGATATGACGAAGGTCACACAAAACTTGCTTCTTAATGGAGACTACTGAGTCCACTGATCTCAGGAAATCAGGGAAATGGCTACAACTGAGCTGGGGGGGTTGGAGGGGATGGGGTGGGGGGCAGGGTGTGTGTGTGTGTGTGGGGGGGGGGTTGTCTCCAACAGTCATCCCCATGATTAGAATGAAGCATGGGCTCATAGAAGTCATCTTCTCTGACCCATATCTGTTCTAAACTCCTGAGTCTGCTGCTGCTGTATAATATGGTTTGCTGGAACAGTCAACTCTAACACAACTACATTAAGATATTAAAAGATAGAAACTGAAAGATTGAGAAAATTTTATTGCCACACACAATGACCTTTTGTGTGCCATGCTGATGCTATGTCTAAGTCTGGCCAGCAGATGCCTCATTTTGTTGGGTACAAATAGTTCATTGTTGTGAACCATTTGCTTCATATCGGTCCAGTGGTTTGGAAAGCTTTGGTTTCTCCATCACTACTTCTGGGAGGCCACCAAGAAGTTAAAACGTCTTTCATTTTTTAGGCAGGTAAGCAGCAACAGGGGTGAACCAAGGAAGTTAACAGACAATCCAACACAAACCAAGTGACAAACAGGGCTTAAATACAAAAGGGCACAGGCAATCAGGGTAACGAGAGGCAGGCGGGACCAATTAACACAAGCAGGACACTAAAATGAAGCTGGGGAAACAGAACGTGACATTTACAATGTTTCATGTCTATTTACACTTCCTCAATAACGCATACGCTAATATTTACACATCCCAACAAATCACACAATGGTTTGACCTTCAAAATGAGAGCAAAGTAATCAAATAGACCTTGTGGTTACAGCAATATACTCATTAAGGTGTTGGTATGTCATCTGTGCCCTGCTAACATTATTTTTAATAGAAATAATTGCTTGAGTGCAAATTGATTAAAATGATTAAAATGTGATTAATCAAGATTAATTACAAAGCCTCTAATTAATTAGATTATTTTTTAATCGAGTCCCACCTTTTAGTTTTTACCACTAAGTTAATTCTTATCTTGGACATTAATGGAATGACAACTTTAGACTATAAAAAAGTCCCAACAATTATTTTCAAGTCAAAAAGTTAGAATAACTCAGTGAGAACATTTAAAAAAACAAAAAAAAATGGATTTGGTTTTCTATTTATTTTAAACATTTCAAAAAAACTTGTTTAGTATAACTAACAGATAAATACAGATATAAAGCTGAGATAGTTTCTAGTTCCATGCTTGCTTGTGCTCAGCCTATTATCACAGAAAATGAATAAATTATAACCTGCACTGCTTTTGCTGCTCTATCTAGACTGTCATTTTTTCCATGTGTTTGGGCAAACTGTTCATTTGTCAGCTCAAAGATTTTGTCTTTTCTTTTTCTTTGCAATTCTTTTGAATATAATCCATCTAAAAACATGAGAAATTAATTAAAAATATGAACTAATCTGTACATGTTAAATGCAATATAAATGTAATGTGCATAACATTAACTCACAAGTTGAGTTAAATTGTTGGAATGGTTTTATAAACATTTTAATGACATAAAAGTACATTTTTGTGTGTTTATGTGCAGCAATAAATGGTTTTGTGTTTGCCAACTTGAATGGTCTGAACATGGAGGTGGGCGATAAAGTGTACTGGTACCTGATGGCAATGGGCAACGAAGTAGACATACACACTGTTCACTGGCATGGTCATAGTGTGGAGTATAAGGTAAATTACCTCACGCTAGACAAATACAGAACTATTTAATAAAAAAAAGCGTACACAAATTAAATATCCCAAATTTGTTGTTATTCTGCAGCTAGGTGGAGGTCCCCACCGCGTCGACTCATACGAGCTGTTTCCAGCCACCTTCCAGGTAAGCTCAGTTCTTTCACTTAAATATTTGAACAAACGCTCTCTTCTTTTTTATAACTTTTGAATGTTTTTGTTTTGCTCTTTTTCAGACGGTAAAGATGCGTCCTCAGTTTCCTGGTTCCTGGCTGCTCCACTGTCACGTCTCTGATCACATCTCAGCTGGAATGGAGGCCATATACACCGTCACCGACAAGTGTAAGGACCAAACGAATGCAGTCAAATAAGTAACGGGGCTGCTGTTTAGGGCAAAACCTGATTTTGTTTTCTTTTCAACAGCAAAGAAACGTTGATTGAGGGGCTGAACTGATGAAGAAGTCAATCGAAACAGAAACAAACAAGTTAAATTTAGATTTATCTGCCTGATTTCATGATTTTTTTGTACAAACCGATCCAGCGTAAACAACTTCTAACAGCAGCTGGACACAAATTACGTAACCATTTTAAATTAAAAAATGCGTCCTAGGCATGTGCTTTAACATTTTTGACAAACTGCCAGACTGTTGTGAAAAAGCATCAATAAAACTTCATTATTTAACACATTTTATTAGCTTCATTGGTGATTTTTTTGTTGACTCAATAATAACAAGAGACTACACAAAAAGCGGAGGACATTTTGGCAACAACTGGGTGTAACTTCTAGAAATTATGTTTCAGCAAAGATTTGAAAATAATTCAAATTTGAAAGTAAATGAAGGAATGAGGAGCTGCACAGTGGAATAGTGTTTAGCTCTGTCACCTTGCAGTAAGGAGGTCTTGTGTTCGAATCCCAGCCTGGGGTCTCTCTGGGTACCCTGTTTTTCTCCCACAATCCAAAAATATAACTGTCAGGTTGATTGGTCTCTGAATTGACCTTTGGTGTGAGTGTGTGAGTGTGTTTGTGTGTGTGTGTGTGTGTGTGTGTGTGTGTGTGTGTGTGTGTGTGTGTGTGTGTGTGTGTGTGTGTGTGTGTGTGTGCATGGTTGTACAATGGACTGGTAACCTGTCCAGGGTGTACCCCGCCTGCTTGCCTGACGACTGCTAGAGATGGGCACCAGCCCCCCCACGACCCTGCTTGGATAAATGATGATGGATGAAGGGATGAGTTTGTTGTCTCTTTATTGTGAAATGTTATAACAAACTATGTGCAAACAGAATTGTTGAAATAAATGGACTTTAGCATCATCTTTTATTTCTCCTGTTTCACCTGTACTAAAAATGTCTTCTACAGGTGGGGAACCTCCTGTGGTTAACGCAAACCAACACAAGGGGGCAGAAGTGGCACATAAATGCACACATGAGTTAAACAAGTAGCTCCAATGATGCAGCCAGATTTTATGTTTTATTTAAGGAGATGGTTTAAATGATAGAGGTGAAAATAGTGAAAGGAAAGATAAGGTGTGGAAAAGCAAAAGCAATTCATCATTCTGCATATTGCAGGATCAAATTAATAAGCACAATAAATAAATGAAGTTAGTCCATCATTATGAATGTTTTGTGATTTTATCCTTTCATGTAGACACACACACACACACACACACACACACACACACACACACACACTTACACACACACACACACACACACACACACACACACACACACACACACACACACACACACACACACACACACACACACACACACACACACTTCTCAGAGTGAATCTCCATGTCGCTGCAGCCCCCTGCTGTGCTCCTGGAGCTGACAGGAAAATAGAATTTAAAAGATTCAGACCATGAAATGTGCCGAATAATGGGAGCTGTGATCTAAACCTGTCCAGAATCTTAATTATGTGGTGACAACTCGGTCCCATTCAGCCAGTAATACAGAGCTCTGCCTCCAAACTTTATGTTGGCTTTCTATCTAACTGTTGTGCATCTGTTCTCAGTGGCTGCGTTGATGCCAGCTGATCGAGATGCGGTTGTCTGACTGATGAGGCTCATTTAACTCTGCAGGACAGATTTTCAAGCAAAGAGCAACACTTGTAAAAGTCACTTTTCTTTTGTATCTGTGATTTGTTTTCTTTTTTCCAAACCATTTTAGAGTTAGGACTATGCAAACATAAGCATGATTATGCAATGAGAACAGTTTAGCTTTGTTCTTAAACCTAAAAATGCAACAAATTAGAACGACACCAGGAAAAAAGGGCTTGATTATTTCCCAGAGACAAGTCTTGGAAAACTGAAGATTCCTGATTATTTTCTGTTCTCATCACCTAATATTTTATATGACTGGTTGCAATTAATCAGGTCGATGTGGTCTGAACTGAAGTTGCTTTAAACTGTTCTTTTCTGTCTCAACCATCAGTACACACAGGGCTGTGTGAGCACTCAAACAAACAAACAAAAAGGGATCAAAATGTGACTCTGTGGTCTTGCAAACAAAGAACCACAAAACAGAAACACGACGCTTCAGATTATTTCACAGCAGTTTGGTTTTAAAACCTAAAAAAATCATGCAGCTCAGCAAAATCCTTTTAAGAGGCGCCAATTTCCAAACGTCTGTGGCTGCAGAAAAGCCAGCCTCAGATACACAGAAAGCATTCAAAACACAATACGTATTGGTGCAGCGGGGCAAGTAATTAAACAGACAAAGAATCACGAAGCGCTTCACATAGATCAGAAGAAAATAAAACATAAAACACTAATGAAATGAGATTACAAATGTGAGTTAAAAATCATTGCATGCATGTTAACCAGTGCTGACTGAACAGACTAACATTACCGCATCTTTTGTACATTCATTCTGTGTTTTATCCAACTGCATTACAATTCAAGGCAAACAAGGTGAAAATAACGCGTTTGCTTTGTTAAAAAGAATCCTAATGCAGAAACATTACTGCATGTTGCGATCAATATGAAAGTGTTTCATGTTGTGTTTTGTAAAACCCACACTTGTTCTGGCTCTGCCTGGATGAGCGGGGACTGCAGACAGGTCAACGGTGACATCAGCATGTTGGAAGCAGATGGTTAAGCTGCCTGTGGTCAAACATCGCCTCTCACTGCTCTCTCTTGGCAGATTTGACAGAAGCTTAATTAATCATTTGCTAATTGCAGAAACACAAAAACAGGAAAAATCCAAATTTAAGTTAAAGTCCCATTAGTCATCACACACTGGTGAAATTCATCTCTGCATGTGACCCATCCCCTTGGGGAGCAGTGAGCTGCGGTGGTGGCCGTGCTTGGGGACTATTTGGTGGTTTAACCCCCCAATCCAACCCCTTAATGCTGAGTGTCAAACAGGGGGGCATTGAGTCCCATTTTTAAAGTCTTTGGTATGACCCGACCAGGATTTGAACCCCAATCTCAGGGCAGCCACTCTACCACCAGGCCACTGAAAAGGTAAATAGCCTTGTTGTAAAGACTTATGCTCAAGTTCTTTTTCACACTTAAAAGTCTGGTTTTGCCCACTTTTTAGTTTTAAAGCTAAAGCTCTAAAACCAAGCAGTTGCTTACTGAAAGCAGTGCTCCTAAACGAAGTTGATAAGACACATAGTCTGGACGATTAAAGATGGGATTATAGTCATCTTAATGTTGAAGGGTGGAACACTGAAAAACTATTTTTATTATTATTTCTGATTATAATTGGTCACGTTGAGTTTTCCACGCAGGCTGAACATGACAATGAGAATAAGAAGCTAACCGTTAGCATTAGCAACTCCACCACTTGGTAGAATCTCCTCCAGGCTTGTGCTACTTGTGGAGATTATACACAGCATTGCAGAGCAAACAGAGTCAGTGGCAGAGTCATGTTGCTGTGATGCAATCCAAAGCAAGTTGTCCAAATATGAAGTTCAAATCCTGCAGTTTTCTCCTTCAGTTGTCTATTCTATCCTGATACGAGCACTTCTGGGCATTTTCCCTCCCTGAGTACGACTTACAAGGCACTTGTTCTTACTAAGGACCACTGCAAATGCATTGATTAAATGATAAATGACCCGCACTTGTATTGCACCTCTCAGAGTCAGAATACAGATGCAAATTAGCAACTACGCTATAATCTGGCCCATTTACGATTGATACAGTGTATTTGATTGTTTATTAATGTGCATTGTCCTGAATAAAGAAATGAATTGAATTGAAAGTAAGTACTTCAAAGCGCTTTACACTACAGCGTGTCATTCATCCATTCACACACATTCACACACTGATGGTGATGAGCTACGATGTAGCCACAGCTGCCCATGGGGCGCACTGACAGAAGCGAGTAACCAACCCCTTTAAGACGGCTTTAATGATCAGTTTGAAGCAATGGCTATAAAAAAAAATATGGACAAACCCTCCGGGATGTCACTTATAGGTTTCTGAAACTTAGTGGGCAGCTCCAATCACCACCATCTTGGCCGTGTCACACGTCTCGACACTCTCGGACAATACAAATATGGGCAAAGAGGTGGAGCTTAGAGCGGAGTTTTGAGGATAGCATTCCGCCTTTGCTACAAGCTAAAGGATAAATAGCCCACACTTGTAGAGAGCCTATCAGAGTCAGAAACCAAGCGCTTTGAATACATTCCGGAAGTATTTTAGTTTGTACTTTAAATATTACTTGTGCTGTTTGTAGTTTGACCAGGTCTGTAAATTTAAGTATTTTTAGTTTTATAAACAGGGGGTGCGTTGGTGCACGGTAATCAGAGTTGGTGATTACTCTTATTGCTCTTTTCTGTAGTAAAACTATGGGTTTTATGTGAGATTTGTAAGTGTTTCCCCAGACCTCCAGACAGTACATCATATGAGGAAGTACTAATGATTGGTATAAGAGTAATAATGATTTTCCATTTAGAATATGTTTAGATTTATTTAACACTGCAATAATTTTAGACATCTTAGTTTTAACATTTTCTATGTGTGGCTTCCATCTCAGCCTTTGGTGTAATGTGACACCCAAGAATTTAATTTCACTTACTCTTTCTATTTCTACCCCATTTATTATTATTTTAGGAAGATTGTTTGGTTTTTGTTTTCCAAATATAATGTATTTAGTTTTACTTAGATTTAATGATAATTTGTTACTGTCAAACCAGGTCTTTAGTATTTTTAGTTCACTTCCAACTATATTCAATAGTTGTTCTATGTCTTTCCCTGTGATATACATATTGGTATCATCTGCAAAGACAATGTAGTTCAATTGAGTGGTTACTTTATTGATGTCATTTATGTAAAGTGTGAATAACTTTGGTCCTAACACTGAACCTTGAGGTACCCCACAGTACACTTGTTTTGTTGGTGATTTTACATTTTGGATTTCTGTGGATTGTTGTCTTCCTGTTAAGTAGCTTTTTAACGAGTTATATGCTGTTCCTCTTACGCCATATTTATATAATTTGGTTAGCAGGATATTGTGATCTATTGTATCAAAGGCTTTCTTAAGATCTTAATAAATACCTATTGTATTATTTTTATTATCAATCGCTTTAGCTATTTCCTCTACCATGCTAATTGTTGCCATTGCCGTTGATCTTTTTATTCTGAATCCATACTGGTGCTCACTTAGATAATTTTTTTCAATGAAATAATCCAATCTGCTTATAAATATTTTCTCTATTATTTTGGAGAACTGAGACAATAGAGAGATTGGTCTGTAGTTGGATGACTGTTTTTTATCACCTGATTTAAACATTGGTATAACTTTCGCAATTTTCATTTTACTGGGGGAAAATACCTGTTTTAAATGATTGATTACAAATGTATGCAAACGGTTTTGCAATACATTATATTAGGTTTCAGTGAACTACACCTTTAATATGGGAGAATTTACTCAGTTTTGGAGCCAGCACCTAGCGGATGCGGGGGGATTTTTTTTCACTTGTTTGCTTCAGGTCTGGAAGCCTCAGGTTCCCCCTCTCTTACTTTCACTCAGGGGGGGACTGGCCTATCTGGCATTCTGGCATGGGTGAAGACGGATGTCATACACGGTAAGTTGACAAGTAGATGAATACATTTCACTGTTATATCGAGTTGTTGGAGGCTGCATAATGGCACAGTGGTTAGAGCTGTTGCCTTGCAGCAAGAAGTTCCTGGGTTCGCTTCCCGGCCTGGGATCTTTCTGCACGGAGTTTGCATGTTCTCCCTGTGCATGCGTGGGTTCTCTCTGGGTACTCCGGCTTCCTCCCACAGTCTAACGGTTAGGTTGATTGATCTGTCTAAATTGTTCTTAGGTGTGAGTGTGTGTGTGCATGAATCTTT